TCAGTATGGAGAGAGGAGACGGTTACACTTGCACACTTGCATTTCTCTCTGGTAGTGTCCAGCCATAATTACTTTAAAGCAGTGAAATATTTATATTTATTTAAATATTTGAAATATAACTGTGAAATATTTCAGGCCAACCCAAAATTGAAGCTTTTATTTTATTATGGGTGTTTTTATTGCACGTAAAAAAAAACTAAAAAACATGCATGTGTACTGTCGGCAGGCTTGCCTCTTCATAAACCTGACCTGTAACTTGTTTGTCTCCATGGAGATGTTATTGATTTGCCTGGAACATTCTACAGAAGGGCATAAAGCTGATCCACCTTCATGGCGTTGTGCAGGAATCAGAACCAGAATCTCCCGCTGTCCTGCTTTAATCGTGACTCTATGAAGCTCATTAACTAGCAATTCATTGGTATATGTGTAGCTGATATTGTACACATTTTAATCTACATTATACTTTTAGTTTGTCATCACAGACAGACCTGGAGTTGTCTTCCTCCCAGTGATGTCAATAACTGCACTGTGTTTTTAAACTCCATACTCACAAGAATCATTTGCATCATTTCAGTCCTGGATTTATCTCATTAAAATGGCTTCACTCTTTGGTCCACCAGCAGAAAATACAGACTTTCTGTGATTATCTCAAAGTAAGGGTATATTAATACCAAATCAAATCAAATGTATTTGTATAGTACATCTAAAACAGCAAAGGTTAAGTGCTGAACAAAATTTACAGTGAAATAAAACATACAATAAGCAAATCAAACGGAATTATAATAAAAATAATGATAAGAGCAAGGTGACAGACAGCAAGGTGCCAAGGTGTCTCTTCCTCATTCTTCACAAATGCCAAGGAGGAAATGTGCGTTTTGAGCAAGGATTTAAAGTGCTCCAATGACTGTGCACTTCTAATGTGCAAAGTGTTCCACTGTCCGATCAACTACAGAGAAGGTCTCATCTCCTCTGGTCCTCAGCCTGGTCCTGGGGACAGTAGGAGGTGCTTGTCTGCAGAGCACAGACCTCTGGATGGGAAATGGAGCTGGAGGAGTTCAAATAAATAGGTGCCATGCCATTAAAACTCTTAAAAACAATCTTTACACTTTTAAAATGGATTCTAAAGTGTACAGGGAGCCAGATAAGGGATTTTACGAACAGGACTGATGTGGTCCTTCTGCTTCTTTCCATTAAAAAGGAGCTGCTGCATGACCTGGCCCTGTAGGCAGCTTATTACAGTACAGAATAATATAGTATAGTATAGTACAGTATAGTAAAGTGAAGTATAATGTAGTATAGATAGTGTACTATAATGCAGTATAATAAAGTTTAGTGCAGAAGAGTAAAGCAATTCTCATTGATGCTAAAAATTAAAATTACACCTTATGACATCACAAGGTGGAACAGAGCATTTGGAGCTTTGGAGATAGACGGCCTAATAATGCAGCATTACTCAAACATGAACAGGAATGAAACAAAACATGACTCTAGATATGTTTTAAAATAGGTAACAGCTTTCAAACATGACGGAAACATGTTTGTGAAATCCCTCAGTCATCCAGGAAGCATCTGTAGTGCAGGAGAAATGGACAAAGGTTTTTGGACTTAAAGCTCACAAGAGTCATTTCTGGGGAATATAGCACCAAATACTGCACTTGTAACAATGGAGGATATAGCACCTGTAACGATTTCTTTCTCCCACTATATCCATATGCCCAGCTCTGTGCGCACAGAGAAGGGGCATCAAAGAGGGTCTCCTCAGCCTGAACTGACCAGACTGATAAGAACCCATTTGAAATCAAAAGGCCATTACTGTAGTCCCATACTCTCATCATGTGTTCTGTGTTACAGCTCCAAAATGTCTGCCCTCAGGTTCAGCGCTGTGGCTCTGCTGCTTGTGTCTGCCACCTGTTGGCCAGAAGAGGTAGTTGACCAACCAAAAGTGGCTCAGAAAACATTGAGCATACTGTTTCTGTGGCTGGTGTGGTTTAGGTAGAGGGGTGGGCAGTCACTGTTGAGCTCCAAAACATTCTAGAGCTATATTGTGTTTTACTTTAGAAGCTTTAAGAGGGATAACATTTATAATTTACCACAAATGTACTTTATTTTCTCTGAGTATCAAAGAGCAGCGATGGAACAAAATGATGATGTTCTTATATAACCTTAACATAGCTATTACAGTTACAGACGGCACATAATCTGTGTAATTGTACTGCAAAGCAAATGATCTGAACTAATGAATGTTCTAAACCTGAGATCTTTAACCCCATGTGTTCCAGCTGCTTGTCGGCATCCGGCCTCCAATAATATAGATCAACAACCTGAATAAAACTCAACAATTTAATCAAGATGAATAGTTCTGAATTCAAGGCTCAAATATGTGTTTTTTAGGTATTATGAAACACAGTTTAAGCATTGCACTTACAAAATGAATCACTTTTATTGTATTCTTTTGAGGTATGGAGAATCATTTCAGAAAGAACAACACAATGCAATGAGATGAATGCGGTGAGTCCAGACCTGAACTTTGAATTCAGGAGGAATATTTATTTGAAGAGTTTGAAGAGACTAATTAAGATTGATTTACTTCATTAAGTTAAGCTAAATCTGTTAAACATTAAGATCTTGAATGTAACTGAGTCAAAACTGTGACACTCACAATGGATATTCTGAGCTGAGGTGAAAAGCTGGATATTAACTGTTAATAACATTCCCCCAACAGCGAGGACATGCTTCTGGAACACAAACTTTTTGCAGCATAAAGACACAAGGAAAGAGCCTAGTTTGGATTCCCCCACTCCAAAATCAACCATAACATACAAAAGGGCTGGTTTAATCTCATATTTTGGGCTACACTATTGTAAACTGATATAAATATATTCATAAAAATCCACATACATGACATAAACATACATGACAGAATACTGAATACATGTCACATACACGAGGCTCACCCCTCTGCTCTCTTCTATTATGGAACTTTTTTCAAAAAGAAAAAAAAAGGCAAGTAAAATGAAAACTTTTTTTTTTTTTTTCATTATGGATAGGCTTATTGCAAAAAAAAGAAAAGAAAGGCACGTGTTCCTTCACAAACCTGACTCTTATTTGGACTTGAGGTGGGGCCCCACCTGCTTGTTCCTTTGGCTATGACATATTACACATCCATCTTCAATGAATCATGCAGGTGACTTTCCACCTCAACCACCTCATTTCCACCTCATTATATTTCAGATTCACATCACCTTTTATTGTTTAAAAATTGTACTTTCATTAAGTACACGTCACTAATGAAACTACTGCACATTGCATCAGGTTTGTCTAGTTGTATGTATTGTTTTCTATTCCGCTCTTGTTATTTATGGAGAATTGTCGTGTGGGAGCATATGTGATCGAAAATAGTCAAAAGTATTTCTTTCATTAAAGATACATATGTCAGAAAATAGTCAGTGATAAATTTTCAATGTGGACGTTTGTTCCTCATCATCCCTGGTGTTCCTTGTAACAGTACACCCCGTACTTGTGCTGTGGAGGGGGGAAGCCGAAGCTGCGGACCCCGGGCTCCGGGGGACCACAGTTCTTGCGGGGTTTGGTAATAGCGTAGCGGACGCTGCCGTCGGCCAACCAGCCGGCCTCACAGTGATCCAATCCCTGGAACCTCCATGCAGAGTATAGCTGTCCCACTTTAGCGATGAGCGCCCCCTGCTGCTCACAGGCCTGATGTGCCTCTGCCAGACTCATCCTGTGGGCCGGCTGCAGGTAGAACACTGTGCCTGGAGGAGAGAGCAGGGTTTAGGGCTAAATATATCTGGAAACTCTGTAACACCTAACACCTGTCTAAACAGCTGACTAATGCTGGTATTATATTCACAACTCTGGACATTTAAATCTAATAGTGCACAACAGACAAACTATGGAATATAGTTTTATGGTGTAATTGGAGTCTATTACTTAATAAACGCAGTGTAAACTTACATTATAAATCACTGGCACTTTTTACTATTACAGGTCAATCCTGTTGTGTAAAAGAAGAAGAAAAGAAGATATTCACTTTCACCAGTTAGTTAGTTGGTTAGTTAGTTGGTTAGTTAGTTGTTATTTAGTTAGTTGGTTAGTTAGTTAGTTGCACTGGTCCAGCCTTTTACTTCTGATACTGATTCTTTAAGCATCTGCTGATACTCAATATTAACTTATACCAGTGTAGGGACGAAAAATGATACTTATTTCTTTAAACGCTCTCTTTGGGGTCACATTGGCCCGAAGATTTTTTTTTTCCCTTCCCGCTCTCTTAGGGCATGTCAATCAGACCCAACAATTTATTTTCTCGCCTGGCAAGAATTTATTTGAAAATAAATTTTTGGGTGTGATTAACCCACCCCAAGAGAGCGGGAAGGAAAAAAAATAAATTGTTCGGGTCAATGTGACCCCGAGGAGAGTGTGAGGTTTAAAGCAGTTAACTTATCCCACAAGAGATCTAACGGTGTTATGTAACTGTTATTTATCCTTCACATAACTATAGAGCAGCTCCACATGAATTAGTGTTGAAATATTATGAGACATTCTTGGCCAAAATCCAGCCTTTATTACATCCAGTTAAAAGCCCAGTCACAATATCATTTGAACCAATATAATCTGAACCAATATGATGGGCTGTGATCTGATCCCACAATTTTTTTCTGTATCTGCTCTGACAGCTGACATTCAATACCAGCACGGGTACTGGAGCATCCCTGTCACCAAAAACTACTGAGATTTGGACTCTTTTTCATCTTTTTCACCTCACTGTGAGCAGAGACTGTGATGTCTCTGTCAGACACAGGGTGGAGAAGTGTTAAAAGTCTGATTGTAGAAATGTGACTCATGACACGCACGCACACACACGCACACACACACGCACGCACACGCGCACACACACACGCACGCACACACGCATGCACACGCGCACACACACACACACGCACGCACACACGCATGCACACACATGCACACACACACACACACACGCACACACATGCACACACGCGCACACACACACGCACGCGCACACACACGCACACACACACACGCACACATGCACACACACGCACGCACACACGCATGCACACACGCGCACACACACACGCACGCACACACGCATGCACACACACGCACACACACACGCACGCGCACACACACGCACACACACGCACACACGCACACACACGCACACATGCACACACACGCACACATGCACACACACGCACACACACACACACATCATGGTCATAGAAGTATTTCCTTCACTTAAATGAAAACAAAATAGAACACTATCTGGTGATTCTTTTTCAGATTTTGGTTATCGTATATATATATATTTATTTATTTATTTATATATACATGAACTCCTCATAAATACACCTAGAGCTGTGTTTTGTTTCATTCACACATTCTTAAATAACCCTTTTATTATCCTTTATTATTAGTCTGTCTACATCTCCAGTTCAAATTCCACGTTGTGGCATCATCAGTTTTATTTATTCTTTTTTGTTTGTTTGTTTGTTTTAAGTTAACAGCTTTTACCTTTAGTTCCAGGGTTAAAATCATTCAAATTATTCTAGTGAAGGTGTGTGGAGATTAAAAACACAGTGGAGCACTTCCTGTATTTCCACATATCATCACCAAGTGGAGCAGATTGTTTTCAGTTTGAGAGAAGGTTTGGGTGTGAAAGAAACAAAACAAAACAAAACAAAACTCCAGGTTTTTTGATGAGCAAACAACATCATAACATAGATCAGAAAATATGGTAATATGGATACTTTAAGAGCGTGTCTTCTGAACGACTCCCAAAGAGCTGGCTCTCCTTAAAGAGCCAAAACTCACCTCATTATTTAGAATGAACCTCGACAGACTCACAGTACACACACAAGCATCCACTGTGGTTCTTAACTGAATCACCCTTGTGAGTGTACCTGGCAGGGCCGAGGAGAAGCAGAACACATCATACTGGTGCTGGTGTGGATGTCTCTTGCCGTAGCTGCGGACCCCGGGGGCTACTCCGGGGCCCCCACAGTTGGCGCGGGGCTGGGTGATGGGGTACTGCACGGTGCCGTCTGCCAGCCAGCCTGCATTACACCAGTGCAGCCCCTCCCTCCAGGACTCATAGAGCTGGGTGAAGGTGGCCAGGGTAGCGCCCTGCTCAGTACAGGCCTGCTGAGCCCCCCCGAAGCTCAGGTGGTAGCGGCCCAGAGGGTGCTGGTACGGGAACACCACCCCTGGAACACAGGCACACGTCACATCAAACAGACACACACATACCAGGCTACTGATACTTTGCAGCTGATGTCATCAACATTCCCACAGGTGTGATGCTAACTGGAGGCATGGCTCTGTCTGAAGCTCTCTTACTCAGCTTTGTTTTCAATCTGACCATCAAGAACTCACTTAGGTGAACAAGTCTCTCATTACAGTCAAGGCAGCATTAGCCAACTCACCTCACAAACAGAATCATGATCACAGGCTCCTGAACATGTGTTGCATGTATTTATTTTTGTATGTTTTTCTCAGATTGTTTTTGGTAATTATCGATTATGTGTGCACCGAGTCACCACGGTAAACCGTCAGACCAGCACCCACCTGCCCATCTGCCCACCTACTCACCTGCCCACCTGCCCACCTGCCTAGCGTGGTGTCACTGCAACATATCAACTGTGGTTTTCAGATTCTGGACAAGTGCCAGTGTACTTTGCCATGAAATATCCCCCCAACTTCAGCAAAAAACTGGTGAACTGCTAACTCCCTCCACTGAAACAAAAAACATGGCTGGATATTAAGGCTGGCTGCTACAGATGTGCTAACTGCACCTATTGTGAACATGTACAACAGACTAACTCTTTTATGGACATTACATCAGGTCAAAGTTTTGATATCGGGACAATTAACTGTAACACCGCTTATGTGGTATACCGACTCGAATGTCCATGTGGTGTTTTTTTTTACAAAAAAACAGGTTGAGCACAAACAGGCAGTTTTTATAAGGAAGTCAACCATGGCAGCTGTAAAGCCTAAAAATCTGTACAATTGATCATATTAAAGAAACAATAAGAGGAGGAGATAGACTGAAAGCACTTCTTCAGAGAGAGTCTTACTGGATCTACATTCTCAAGCATATCCAGTTTCCAGGCCTCAATGGAGAGTTAGATTTCTCTCCTTTCCTTTAAAACCACACATTCTAAATGTATAATAACTGTACATCAGGGCATACTTTTAACATAGTATGTCATCATGAAATTGTCTATAATGAGTCCTCTAGTAAATTACAATACAACACAATACACATTACACATATTTTATTGATAGCAGTTTTGTATTTTTCTACTATGAATTCTTTGTTGGGAATTGTACTATTTATATTAAGGTAAACATTAATCATCTTTAAATATCTTAGAAGCTGCCTACATGTCCCATCATGCACTTGGTGACTGTGTACCAGCCCACTTTGAGCATGTGACTTTAAATTTGTACTGTGTTATCCATCTCGAGTTTGCCCTGATGAAGGCCGAAGGGCTGAAACGCACTGGCATGATTTTCACTTTATCTGCCATGTGGTAACAAAGGCTTTTCATTATTTTGTACATTTTGATTGCCTCAGCTTTTTAAACTTTGTATTTACACTGAAGAGCACTAAAAGGAAAATGTTTCACAATTTCTACACATCCAAGTGGCACTCCTGCTCTCAAAAGTTTAGCTGCATGGAACAATATTCATTTGATCTGCCCCCATCTCTAGTAAATAAGATTATCTTATAAAATGTCGTGGTGTTATCTGTATGTATATCTGTGTGTATGTGTATGCATGTATATATATTAGGGCTGGGCAAAAAATAATAATTTTAATTGCGATTAATCGCATGAGTTCGAGCCATTAATTGCGATTAATCAAGATTAATCGCATGTTATACGCAAAACCAATTAATGAATTAAAAAGTAAAGTATAGCGACTTTTATTGGAAATGTAAATGAAAGAGCCAAACATTTGTTGTGCAAACAGCATTTCTTCACAGGGGAACCTCAGAGCCTTCAAGGTATTCAGGGAAGGCTCAAGAAAAAATATTGAATGGACGTTTGTACTACTAATATATTTATTGAATATTTTTTATGCTGTGAGTAATGAACACTACACTAGTAATAATTTCTAGATCAGTGTTATAAACTTGGACTGATATTTCTTAGGAAACAAAGGGTTAATATAATGGAATGGAAATGGACCAATCACATTTTTTCTTCCAATGGTATCTGGGTAAATCAGTGACTCCAGCACTGAACTGAAAGAAATAAGCTCATCTCAGAACCGGTGCCCACGGCCGAACTCGCGGCCGGAGCCGCGACGGGAGTCGGAGCCTGCGGCCGGAGCCGTGGCGGAGGCTCGGGCACGTCGCATCTCACGTGGTCAGAAAAAAGTGTAAAGAAAAGACGTCAAACTTAAAGAAACGCTCATGGTGGACTTTTTCAAAATAAAAGCCAGTGAGAAACAGACGTTTACAATAAAATAAATAAATAAATAAATAATAAAAACTGCGTTAACGGCATTAAAATAATTGTCGGTGTTAATGACTTAAATAGTTAACGCAAAGTTAACGTGCCCGGCCCTAATATATATACATGTATATGTGTATACACATACACATATACATAGCTAATAAACATAATAAAATAATAATAATAGCTCTACTTTTCAGGTCAGAGACAACAGGACAGGTAAAAGAGTGGATCAGTACTATGTGTTAATACTATAATACTATTGATTAGGGCTGTGCAAATCATCACATTTCAGTTGAATGAATCCTATAAAAATGTGTATACTATTACACAGGGCTAGACGTTATGGTGCTAAAATCAAATTGTGATTTTATTCCTGTAACAATATGTTAATTTGGTCAAATTGACACATTGTAAACTGACACCACCTAAACCTCCTATTGGTCAGTGAACATCTGTGTCGGAATCCTTCTGAGGTGACTGCACTGAGTGGTTACCTTGTAGCTCCAGATAGACGGAGGTGCTTTGGTCCTCCAGGCCTCCCACCACCTCACAGCGGTACAAGCCCGTGTCATTGAGCTGCAGAGCGGAGATGACCAAAGAGGCGTCTCCTTCTGAGGCTTGCTTCAGGTGGACACGCCCACTGAACAATGCACAACACAAGCTCGTGTCTCACAGGAGTCCACTCATGACAATGTACAATGTGAAGAGGGAAGTACAGCAAAATGTAGACACTTTTGAACTTATACACAATAAAAGATATTTAAACTAGTATATAGAAAACAAAACTACCATTTTTTTTTTCTTTTGTTTGATATTTAAGACCAAAAAATTTTAATACTAGACATGCTGAGTGGAGCATACTTGTGTCTAGATTTTCACAGTACATTCTAACATGTGTTTATGTTGGAGGTGGTCTCGCTGACCCTTTTTAAGTGTTCAAGAGTCTGGAACTGTAGCCTCGTCTCCCAAATATCTGATGGCCACAAATATTTAAAGAGGGAAATTTTCATTCTATGTGGCATTATCTGACACGTAACATATTTACACCACCATGTTGCCTTTTATTGTTTTGAAAAAAATTTATATTAACCAAAAAATAAAAAATACAAATCTGAGTCTCGTCTCCTTTTGCTCCTCACCCCCCATTCAGAGCACTATCCCAACACAATGAAACTACTGCACATCGCATCAGGTTTATCAAGTTGTAGTGTATTGTTTTATATCCTGTTTTTTTATATTTATGGAGACTTGTTGGTGGGAGCATGGATGATACAGCTTGTGGACTTTACACGGGAGAGATTGTTGAAATACTCAAACATGGATGGATCCCAAATCTCTTCAGGCATGTTTTTGATGAGGGAACAATGTTATAACAGATAGAAAGCTTAAAAAAAGACAATTCTCCAGTGTTATGTGAACACCTGTAGTGTGCTCGTCTCGTGTGTTATGTGAACACCTGTAGTGTGCTCGTCTCGTGTGTTATGTGAACACCTGTAGTGTGCTCGTCTCGTGTGTTATGTGAACACCTGTAGTGTGCGTAGCTGCGGCTCCGGGCTCCCATGGACACCAGCACGTCGGTCTCTATCTCTCTGGAGGACGACATTTTGGACCACTTGATCCGGACTCGTTTTGGAGGATTCTGATCAGGCTCAAACCAGAATCGGCAGGGAAGGGTCACCTCTCCCCCCTGCTGAGCGCTCACGGAGGACACAGCCGAGTCTATGTGCAGCTGTACTCCACTGGCATCTACTGCACCAGACATGACAGGAGTACACTGAGAGATCATGAGATATATTTTTGTGATTTTAACAGAACTGGTCAGCTTTACAAAGCACTTTACATGAAGGAAACACTCACCCATTCATTCACACATTCACATAACATTGTATGCAGATTCTAGGGTTAAGTGTCTTGCCCAAGGACAAAACAACAGCATTCATCTGTGGGAGCTGGAATCGCACTGCCAACCTGTGGGTCAGCGTATTTGACCTAAAGTTTTATTTCGAGAGCAGGGAACCATCAGCCTCCTGATCAGTGGACAAACGCTCTTACCAACTGACCTCCTGGCGCCCAGTGGAACTGGCCAGTGTAAAATTATCCACAAAAAGACTGATGCTTGGACCTGGTTTAAGGTAACAGAAGTAAAGTGAAAAAATGTATACATTTCTGTATTTATTTGGCTGTTTGGGTCATTGCTAATTACTTTATTTTCTGCCTTATTATATTATTATATTCCTTTGAGTTACTGGCTGAGTCACATCAAAACACACAGGCACTTGATTCACAAATTCCATCAAAAGTATTTCTTTGATTGTTTCTAACTAGTTTGAGGCAACACTGCGTTGTGATGTGAGTGCTCTCTCAGGACACACCAGGCATCAAAGAAAAATTTTATTTTCAGTGGCCTATTAGAATTAACAGATCCAGCCTATTCACACGTCAGCCTGTCAGGAGCTATGTTTACCTGAGACTGGTGCAAGAACCAAAGACTCCCTTTGATTCATTAAAAGTTAACATTAACATTAAAGGTGCACTGTTTAACTTTTCTGGAGAAAAGTCTGCCACTGTCTCATCTCCACAGAAATGTTTTTGCTTTGACTGAAATGTTCCACAGTTTAGCATTACACTATACTCCATCTTGCATTTATACAAGTGCAGGGCATGCAGACTGGCGTACCTTTTTTGTTGAGGCCATTGAGGAGATCTTGGTAGTAGAAGGTGTTGGTGCTCTGAGTGAGCGGCTTGGCCCACAGAGGGAGCACCAGCTGGGCCCCAAACCAGAGCAGAGCCTGGAGCCTGGACAGGCCCATTGTGTGTGCGTCTGTCTGGGCCTGAGGAGACACATGCAGCCAATCAGTGTCCATTCATCAGAACATTTCACTGTCCCACAGTAAACAGCCAATCAGCACGCTTCACTGTCCCAGAGCAAACAGCCAATCAGCACGCTTCACTGTCCCAGAACAAACAGCCAATCAGAACACTTCACTGTCCCAGAGCAAACAGCCAATCAGCACGCTTTGCTGTCCCAGAGCAAACAGCCAATCAGCACGCTTCACTGTCCCAGAGCAAACAGCCAATCAGCACGCTTCACTGTCCCAGAGCAAACAGCCAATCAGCACGCTTCACTGTCCCAGAGCAAACAGCCAATCAAAACACACCTTACTCTCCCAGAGCAAACAACCAATCAGAACACACCTTACTGTCCCAGAGCAAACAGCCAATCAGAACACACCTTACTGTCCCAGAGCAAACAGCCAATCAGAACACACCTTACTGTCCCAGAGCAAACAGCCACACCTCCCTCGTGTTTACCAAATGTCCACAAACACTCCCGTTAACCCCTGTGTGCTCTCCCCTCCCTCTTCTTATACATGGGGCTCACAATGATGAATGATCAGGGCCTTTGCCATAGCAGTTAACGATTTAAAACAACATATTCTATGGTTTGAATGGGAAAAAAATCCTCAAAAAGTTGCTTCTAACAGTAAGCTAAAGGCACCAGTAGATGCCAGTACTTCTCACAGAATAGTATGAATTCTATAGTGAAACCTTTAAAGGAAACAGCCTATGCAAGACTTTGATTTTAAATTCTATGAACATGTCCTATCTGTGTCCCCAGATGTTCAAATCAAATATAACTTTATCTGATAACAGAAACTGCACAGCCCCATTTCTCTGAAGTCTTGGTTCTTAAAGCAGTTCTCCAATCAGAAAGCAGTATGAGCCTCACATGACTCTCTCATTTGGGTTGCCAGTTTCAATGCTGAAATCCAGTTGGTTTAAACCTAAAAAGCTTTTCATTTCCTAATCCCCAGCACCTGCACCAGTCATGAAATCTGCAGCTCAGTGAGTGAATTCTGGAGGTTTTGAGCTTTTACATGAGGCATAATCCAGTAAGAGCACAGGCTACACCCATTTTCTTTAAATCAGGGTTGTCCAGGAGAACTTTGTGTAGACCTGACTGGGACCTTAAAGAAGACATATAATGTTTATTGAGAGTCTTTAGTATAAAACTATAACATAGATCATGATTTACATGTATTCATCGTAAACTGATCTAAAACTGCAGAAAGAGATCCACTGACGGTCTGTTCAGAACTGCAGGTGTGATCTTCATAGTGACATTTGCCTCTGGGTCAAACCAACAACAGATTTCCATGTTCACATTTTATTGTTAAGAACTGGCTGTAACATTACATGCATGACTCAGAGTCACAATTGTTGGAATAATATAGGCCTAAGAAAAAGAAGAAGCAACCTAAATACAGAGTGGGTGAGGATCAGGGGAAGAAACAGAATAGTGCAGTTTTATGTTCTGAAGAAGTACCTTGGATGAGCTGCAAAATGTATTTATATGTCATCTTATATATTCTGTCTCCCATTAAATGTGATGAAATTAGTATTAGAGTTGATGGGCAGAGGTTGTGGACTTCAGATCAGCCTTCCATCCATTTAAAGGCACCTGATAATCCAAAAAACTACAACAGCTAAATCTCCTCCAGACCTGACCCACCTCATCCATGATGTCCTGAGCAACAGACAGCAGGTTGTGTGGTTGGGTGCGACCACATCCTTTACCCTCACCATAAACACCAGTGCACTGCAGGGACATGTGCTCAGCCCATTTCTTTACACTCTCAAGTTTACACAAATGACAATATCAGTCCCTCCACAAACATAACGTGCCTCAAATACTCCGATGACACTGCGATCCTTGCCCTACTCAAAGACACTAATTCACTTATGGACTATTACAACACAATCATGAACTTCACCAAATGGTTCAATGACGAGCACCTCCACCTCAATGTCAGTAAAACAAAGGAGCTGATGGTCAAAACCCCTCACCACAGGCACCATCATCATTAACAACCAGGCAGTAGAAACACTGGACACTTTCAAATGTCTCGGGGTCACAATAGACAATGCACTTACATTAGATCAGCACATTACAGACGTCAGTACAGATGTCAAAAGAAGTCAACAATGATGTTGATAATGAGAAAACTCAAAGGACTCTATGTTTCTCCGCATCTGTTATTACTGTTGTACCAATCCATCATCAGGCCCATCCTGTTGTATTGTTCCACCTGCTTTTTCAATATGCTCACTGTTAAAATCCGGTCTAAATCACAAAGGTAACACACACACACACACACGCTCACACATACACACACGCACACACACACACAGACGCACACACACACGCACACAGACACACACACAGCTGCTAAAATCATAGGACTCCCCACACCCAACCTGCAGATGTGTTGTGTTGCGTTGTGTGGTGTTGTGTGGTGTGGTGTTGTGTTGTGTGTGTGGTGTTGTGTTGTTGTGTGGTGTTGTGTTGTGTTGCGTTGTGTGGTGTTGTGTTGTGTTGTGTTGCGTTGTGTGGTGTTGTGTTGTGTTGTGTTGTGTTGCGTTGTGTGGGTGTTGTGTTGTGTTGTGTTGTGTTGTGTGTGTGTGTGTGTGTGTTTGTGTTGTGTTGCGTTGTGTGGTGTTGTGTTGTGTTGTGTTGCGTTGTGTGGTGTTGTGTTGTGTTGCGTTGTGTGGTGTTGTGTTGTGTTGTGTTGTTGTGTGGTGTTGTGTTGTGTTGCGTTGTGTGGTGTTGTGTTGTGTTGCGTTGTGTGTGTTGTGTTGTGTGTGTGTGTGTTGCGTTGTGTGGTGTTGTGTTGGTGTTGTGTTGTGTGTGTTGTGTTGTGTTTGTGTGGTGTTGTGTTGTTGTGTGGTGTTGTGTGGTGTTGTGTTGTGTGGTGTTGTGTGGTGTTGTGTTGTGTGGTGTTGTGTTGTGTTGTGTGGTGTTGTGTTGCGTTGTGAATGAATTTCCTCTTGGGGACTAAGTCTAAAGTGTGAAAATGATACTGAAGGAAAAGTAAGGTTACAGAATCACGTCAGGCTGCAGCAGAGTCTACAGTCCCTGACAAAAGTCGCTTATCCATTTTGTAGAAACAAAAGCTTATAACCTGACTTTAAATGAATCGAATTGGTTTTAGAAATGTCTCATATGAAAGCTAACCCTCCCAAATTATGCTCAATATACTAAAATAAATTTGATGCACTCAATTCTAGATTACAGCCTCACCTGTGATCAGTTACTGATCGATCAATTAGTGGGTGTGTATAAAAAGAAGCCCAGCACACCAGACCTTCACATCAACTGCAACTTGACCTCTGACAACATGCCTAAGATCCACCCTGAGACCAAAGCGTTAATTATCAAGAGGCTGAAGACCAGATCCACTGCTGAGGTGGTGACACCTTCAATGTGTCTCAGCGCCAAGTACAAAGAATAAGAAAAAGATTTGAAATGACTGGAGATGTTTTTGACAAGCCCAGGTCCGGCAGACCCCGTAAGACAACTGCTCGGGAGGACCGTTTGTTGATTCAAAAATCCAAGGCCCCTTTTCCACTGCAGCAGAGCTCCACCAGGCCTGGTCACCTCAAGTCCCTGTGTCAACCACAACAGTTTGTAGAATTCTGTCTGGAAATGGCCTCCATGGTCGAATCAGTGCACAGAAACCAGCACTAAACAAAAGGCAATTAAAAAACCATGTGGCATTTTGCCAAGGCCCACAGCCTGCTAAAAGGATGGACACTGGAAAAGTGGCAGAAGGTGGATTTCTCAGATGAATCCTCGGTTGAATTACATCACAGCCGCCGCAAATATTGCAGGAGACCTACTGGAGCCGCATGGATCCAAGATTCACCCAGAAAACAGTTAAGTTTGGTGGTGGAAAAATCATGGTCTGGGGTTCCATCCAGTATGGGGATGTGTGAGACATTTGCAGGGTGGAAGGCAAATATCAATAACCTAAAAAATCAAGAAGTATTAGCTCCTCTTACATTCTCAACCATAAAAGGGGTCAAATTTTGCAGCAGGATGGTGCTCCATCGCATACTTCTATCTCTACATCAAAGTTTCTCAAGGCGAAGAAGATCAAGGTGCTCCAGGACTGGCCAGCCCAGTCACCAGACATGAACATCATTGAGCATGTCTGGGGTAGAATGAAAGAGGAAGCATGGAAGGCAAAACCAAAGAATCTTGATGAACTCTGGGAGGCATGTAAGACACTTTCTTTGCTATTCCTGATGACTTCATCAACAAATTGTATGAATCACTGTTGAACCGCATGGATGCGTCCTTCAAGCTCATGGACGTCATACAAGATATTAAATATGGATCTCACAGCACCACTACTTCATTCACTGACGTTATGCAACATATTTTTGTATATGAAGTAAATTATTTGTTCAATTTTCTGTAGGCGACAAAACTTTTGTCTTGTCAAAATCTGACCTTTCTGTGTTCATTAAATGATCAATCTTTCTTCAGTGAAACAAATTTATTTTAGTATATTGAGCATAATTTGGGAGGGTTTTAGCTTCATATGAGACATTTCTAAAACCAATCGATTAATTTAAAGTCAGGTTATAAGCTTTTGTTTCTACAAAATGGATAAGCCACAAGACTTTTGTCAGGGACTGTAGAAAGAAGGAGTGACGTCACCCACAGCATTCAGCTCCAGTCAAATGAAGCTCACTGAAGCCTGCGGCTATAAGGGCAAATTTGGAGCCTTGATCTATATTTGGAGTAGGAATTTATTGACTTCCAAAAAAGCTAAATAAAAGCATCAGGATCATGCAGATCAGGTTTTAAGACCAGAATTATGAGGCTCACTGCAGCAGATACAGAGAGAAAAGATTTTTAGATTTAGACTGACACAAACTTTATTAATCCACTAGGGAAATGACTTGGACACAGGAGTCACACATCACAATCTAATCCACAGGTGTCAAACATAAGGCCCGGGGGCCAGATCCGGCCCTCCAAGACCTTTAATGTGGCCCTTGGGTGATTTTCTACTAAAATATTTTTATTATATTTCTATTAAAATATTGGTAATTTTCTGCGGTGTTTATCACAGCAGCGTCTCCAGTGTCTCTGTACGTGGCCCCTCCCACCAGAGCAGCACAAATGAAGACTTGTCTCTTTCCAAACGCTCTTAAAGGACGATCGTTTTGACTGTTGACCGTGACACCCTCATCAGAAAAATGTCCAACATGAGAAAAGTGGAGCCGAGTGCAGGATTTTCCAAGAAAAATTGACTTATTCCTGTTTATTATAATAAAAAAGAGTTCATCAATTAAAAAAAAGATTTTTGTAATAGATTTGCATTTCTCTGCAAAAATATTTGAAGTTATTGTTATTTTTGGGGTATATATGACATGAGTTTTCTGATCCGGCCCCTTTGGGATCAAAGTAGGTTGGATACGGCCCCCGGACCAAAATGAGTTTGACACCTCTGATCTAATCTAATAACAAAGAGAAAAATGCCATATAAATGTTCATAATAAATGCTACATAAGTAGCAAAATTAGCAAGAGTCTGATGTCAAATATTTTACAAATTTTCTATGTAAAGTTCATTTGATGGAACCAAAACGCCCTGATGCTCTCTTCCCTGAATGCAACAGACAGCTGGTTATGTCAGTTTATATTTACAGTTTATGTAGGCTACTCAAGTATAAGTATAAAATATTGGTCCAAGAAATTACTAAAGTAAACGTAAAAAAGTCTTTGGGAAAAAGTAAGAGTTATGAGTAACTGTCGGGACCTAACATCTGATTTATAGTTTGAAGAGAATGTCAAAACTTTTAAGAATGCACAAAATCAAGTCTTTTCAAAAGACAGACACAAATAAGACACTCTAAATCACATCTGAAGGAACAACAGGAAACACAAATGTTCAAATCATTTCATCGTCACATAAAGATTTTGTCACTTTAGACTCACAGTTGGAAGAGGAACCACAACTTTTACACAAGTAAAAGTACTGTACTGTTACTTCAGTACAAATATTACTCAAGTGGGAGTGAAGTATGTTGTAATAAAAATACAATGTCTTTAAAAAGTTATAACAAATGTAACTGTACTACCAGCGACATGTTTTTTTTGTTTTAATATTAATATAAGTCATAATTTCAGCACTCAGCAATTTGGAACAATCCTGAATTTTAAATCTGGGAGCCAAAAAGAAGTGTTGACTAAAGTGTGCAGATCCCTGCACAAACTCACACTAAATCAGGCAGTTTTTTAAACAAAAGCTTCGTATCGCAAGTAAGCGTAACCTTTCATGCTCTGATCACAGACTTTACCTTCAGATCCTTCTGAGTTCTCACGGTAAATCGTGGAGACGCGTCCGTGGACGTCGAAACACGCCGCTCTCTTTGATGCCGCTGAGACGCACTTTACGAGGCGATAATGACGTGCGTAAAAGTCCCGGACTACTCCATAACGGCACCCAAAGTCCCGCGGAGGCACGGAGACGTGTCTGGGCTCAGCGGACGCTCCCGGGGCTCGTATACCTGCGGGAGGAAGCGGCGCGCACGGATTGGCTGCTCCAACGTGACTCCCAACCCCCAGGGAATGTTCTGCCTGCGCCTTTTACATTATTGGCAAAATGAGATTAGTGGGAGTTTTGAAAGAAACCCGAACGACTCCAGGCTGCAGCTGTACATGTTTCCTGTAAGTGAAGCTCAATGAACGACAGCGCACATGATCCTCTCAGTCTGAAATGCCCAAAGCAGTGAATGTTCAGCTGGAATGATTTCAGTGCGGAGGATTCAGACAGCTGAATTGACCAAACTAAAGAACTATTAATAGGCCGACAAATAAGATGTCAATCAGTTAAAGGATCATTTTCTGTGCACTTGATGGGCACCATTAAATCAAACGAGTTTCCATTTAACCATACTCTTACTTTTTATACAGATATGTATGTTTTAAATTCTCTGTGTACATTTTAAGCCCCACAATGTGATTGCAATAAAAAGTACACATTTTTCATGATTTCATTTAATTTCATTTGGTTGTGTTCATTGCGCGGGAAAACATGTGTCTTTATTGTGAGTGTGCATCTCCATAAACTTGTCTTTGGTCTAGAGGAGGGTCTCCTCCTGCTGTTTCTGCTGGATCTGACTTTTGACTATGATCTTCAGTATGACACAAAACATTAAACATCATGTTCCATGCGTCATGGCTTGAACATTTATTTCCTTCACTTGAAGCATCGACTGGCATGTTTTAGTTCCTCTTTAAGGCAGTATTCATGTGGAGCAGTGCATTTCCAGTACATTAACATGATTCACATTCTGTGATATGCTCCCAAAATACCAGAATCTGTGCATTAACTGATCATTTGTTCATTGTATGTTGAGCATTAACTTAACATTAACTGGATTTTGACTTGTACTTGAGTAGCCCAATAGGCTAACATGATTATAAAGTGAGACTCCTATCTAACGTCTGAGATAATAAAAATATCATTGACAAAATCATCCCAGCAGCCTCTGAACAAAGACAGAGGAGCATTCTCCCTCTCGTTTACTGTGAAATGAATGAGCAGGAAACTCACTGTAATTAGCTCATGTGTTCAAAGTCACCCTCAGAGCGCTCTGTCATCTGGACTAATGAAGCGCAAATGAAAGGAAAGTGGGGCACTGTAATCTGAGCACAGGCCTGGAGCCCTGGAGCTCTGCAGCTCTGCACACTCAGTCATGTCCTGGAGCCCAGGGACTGTGGTTAAGATACACTTTATTGTCCCTGTAGGTAAATGTGTCCTCTGCATTTGACCCGTCCTTGGGGCAGTGAGCACTGTAGTGCTTAGGGATTCATACTCTTATTGCTAGTCTTGGTCAGGACTGGATTTGACCTGTGGTGCATGTTTTGGGTTGATGGAGAAAACCCACCAAAAGCACAAGGACAACATGCAAAAAGGCCTGGGGGCCTCGGGGATTCAACTTGGAACCTTTTTTGCTGAATGCTACAGCCCCTCAGCCCCTCAGCCTCTGTGGTTGTCTTGAACCTGGGGGCCTGGATGGGTCCAGTTGTTCTGGAGCCTGGGGCCAGTGGTCAGGAGCAGTGTTGGGGAAGTCTTTCCTCGTTACGTCTTACTTTTAAAAAAAGTAATCCCATACTTTACATAGTTACCCTCTATGGAAAGTAACTTTTTACGTTACTTGTTACTTTGGTAACTTTTTGGTGGTAAACTCCACTTAAGGTTAAATACCAGCACGAGAGTCGACAAATGTAAGTACAGACAGTGTAAAAGAAGTTTGAAGAGAGTTGAAGAGGACGTGGAACAGTTCAGAGGTACAGGGGGTGGGCTCCTCGCAGTCTGCCGGGGGGGATTCACTGGCCCCCGCCCAGCGCACTTCCTCTGAGGCGGTGCACCGCCACCGGTTCTGGGTCGACCAGGAAAGGCTCGAGGTGAAAGTGGCACGACGCTCCGCCTGCGGCTCTACAGCTCCTCCCGCCCGAACCTCGCCGCTCCCCTCTCCGTCCTCTGTCCTCAGTGCGCCCCAGCTGCGCCGTGCCCTCACTTCTCTGTGAATATAATAATAATAATATTTATATTTATTTATTTATACAGCACTTTTAAAAACAGGGTGTACAGAGTGCTGTACAAGCAGCAAAGAACAATTCAAAAAGCATCAACAATACCACAGGAAGCACCAAAACAGACAATGACGCAAACAGTCTAATTAGTTATAATAAATAAATAAAAAGAAATAGAATTAAATCAGTAAGGAATAAAATCAAGCTAAAAGGTGATTTCAAAGATGATAGTAACGGTGTGAGTCTTTTCTCCTCAGGAAGGTCGTTCCAAAGTCGAGGCGCCTGGACTGAAAAGTCTCCATCACCTTCATCTGGAGTCTGGACTTTGGAAGAGACACAGACCTGTCTGAGGATCTGCGGCTGCGGGACGCTCGGACAGGCTTAAAAGTTGAAATGTAACTTCGTGCAAGACCTAAAAGAGCTTTAAAAGTGATTAGTAAAATCTTCAAATCGATTCTAAAACACGGGAACTCTGTTCCGTTACCAAATTTAGCGCGTTACACTATTTTTACCCGAAAAAGTAGTTTCGTTACACCCAACACTGTCCCGGAGCTCAGCACACGGTGGGGGTGATGGGCTCACTTGTCCCACTCAGACCATGGGGACAGCAGGAGCACATCACCACAGGCCCCCAAAGAAGCCCCTTTGTTCTCCCCACGTCTCTGACAGCAGATGTCTTCATCGGGGGCTGATGCAGCTGTGCACCTGGAAGCCCATGTATGGAGCTGTTTTGATAGACACGTGAAATGAGTGTTTACATACGCGTGGCCACAGATGATGGATGTGAGCGACTTCCGGGGGCCTCGCCTGTGGAGCCGCCCCAGATGAAAGCAGTCGTCAAGGGCCGCACATGCCCAGACTGTGAGCACGGAGCTGGGGACAGAGGATGCAGCATGTACCTACACGCTCCCCTCTGGCCCCCTCCTCTGTCTGCCGGGAACACTCCAGGGATCACTCTGTAGACTCATTCCGTCATCTTTTCACACTGTTTAGAAACTCAGCCTCTAAGGACTAAGTCTGCTCTGTACAAGTTCAAGGGGCCTAAACCAATTATTTCATATATTTGGAGAGAATCCTGCTGTCAGGATCATTACTACACTGACTTTACGTTCAGCTCTTTTAGAGTTCATTTATGTAACACTGGCTCTGGGTGTTCATTGTTGTGAAGTGTTACTTAAAGTTAGGAGGTTGTGGGTTCAAGAAGAATCAGCTGGAGAGTTACAGCTCTTTTATTTTAACAGCCTGTTAAAAAAACATATGTACGCCCTAAAAATAGTTCCATCCAATAACCTGTTACAACAATGTTAAGGCGTTACTATAATGAGCTGTAGATGGTTGAATACAGAACTTCAGTGACTCAGTATAGACTCTACTGAGGTGTTTGATTCTGCTGTTTATTTACTGCATCTTATGTTAGTATTTTAATAGTGTTCAGTGATGATCCTGTTTAAGAGTTGCTGTGTCAGTGGATTAAAGATCCTGTATTACACAAAACTGACTTATGAGCCTTAATGTTTTTACCACATCAAAAACAGACCTGGACTTGTGTTTTGTTTGAGTAGCCTTTTGTTATTGGTCTGTCTATGTCTCCAAAGCTCAAAATGCTCTGTTCCACCTTGTGATGTCATGAAGCAATAGTTTTCAAGTGAACAGCTCCTTTTACCTTTAGTTCAGTAGAGATTTGCAACTCCTGTTATTATCCAAATTATTCTAGTGAAGGTGTGTGGAGTTTAAAAACCTAAAATATGCCCTTTAAAGTACTTCATCAAATTATGAAATAAATAAGTTTTAAATTAGAATTGGTGGCATGCAAAGTTCAGTAATGATAACAAAGTGTCATGTGCAACAGCCTGCTTCAGAAAAACATCACAATAAATGTTGAATGGTCACATTTTCTATAGCACTTTTCCTCCTTCAAGGCACTTTACAACAAGGATCGACTCACCCACTCACACCAGTGTACACAGACACTAGGGTGAGGTGGGTTAAGTTTCACAACAGTATATTCTTCAGATCAGTGGACAAACACTCTACTAACTGAGCTGATGTCACCCAGTAAGTCAGTTGGTAGATAAATTATTGACATTTGATGCTACTGACACAATATCCCTACAGCAGAAGAATAACTGAACCCTTTTCTCAATAAACTGAATGGTAAATAAAACATGAACTGCAAATAAATAAAGACGACAATGACACAAATCACTCTGTAAAATAGACTTTTAGAGCTTTTAACCATGTTATAGTTTTTCCACTCAGCAAGACGCCATTTTGCTGATCAGTCCCAGTTTTCACCCGTACATGACCACTGTGATGTACTTATTTGTTCTCCAATTTAATTTTGTTAATCGCTAACATGCGTAGGATTTGGCAGTGTATGACACACTCATTTTGATATGAAAAGATGGTAAAAAAAATTGCTGCTTGTTAATGTGATCTGCGGAGTTGACAACGTTTTGCTTTGATGACATTTATGCCAAAGTCAGCTCCTATTGGGCAGTTTTCTAACATGAAAGTCAGTGGACTTGTTTCTTTAATTAAGTTACCTTAGAAAGAATATTGCGACTTAAAATGTGCATTATAATATAATGATCCATGAGTGATACAGATCACATCTATATAGCAGACTACAGCAGCCCCAGTCTAATCATTTGGTCTGGTTTAGCCCCAGTTCAGACCTGGAATAGTCCTATGATAGACCTGGTTTACCATATATTCTGTACATTGTACATGGTATGGCAGTCACTTAGCTACAGGTTTGGTAAATAAGTACCTTAGTACTTTTGTGCTGTAAAGTGCCACAGTTGGTATGTGCATAGTATAATTTCATTGCCCTGTTACCACGGTGAAGTCTGGTTGGTGGCAGATAAGCTCTGGCTTTCCTCCTTGCTGTGTGCGCTGCTCCTCTCCTTCCCTCAGAACAATAGCCCTTTGTGATGGTTCCCCTGCTCCTGCTTTGTGCGTGGCCTCATTCAGCTGCCGTCACGTCCGTAAGCACCACCCATGGATCTAAGCACCGCCTCACAGCAAAATACGCACAAGAGTTCAGACAATGACAGGGCGACGTTTACAACAGTTTATTTGATCTCAGTTCCAGATCCACAAAGATATAAAAACATTTAAACCACTTCTATCTGATACTTCAAATTTACTGTAAACAATCCCAAACAGATTTTAGAAGAAAACGGAACTCCTCTGCACGATTCAGACAAAACTGTGTCAAATATTTTAACTAGAAAACTGGCCGCGTTAGTCTAAATTATGAGTGGGATGTAGTATAAGGGCTCTACAAAATCACACCAAATAATCAGTTTCCCCGTTTTTATTTTTGAACAGTTTGACTAATAATGTATATTAAAATATTTTCAATAATATTGTTATTCCAATACTAATCATGGAGTGTGTACATGTGCTTGAGTATCCCGGTTATGCAGTATCCTGGATATGTCAGTATCTCACTGGGATATTCAGATAGTATTCATGTAGCACGTGCAACTCAAGTAACAAACATGGCAGTGAGCAGTTACTTTCCCAAAACAACTCAAACCAACCAAAACAACTCAACTCAAACACTAATAATAATAATAATAATAATAATACACAGGGACAGTGTCCTGTTTCTTTGGGCGGGTGTAAACGCGATATCCAGAATACTATAACCAGGATGAGGCTCATAACCGGGACACTGGAACGCTTGTAAACTGTTAAAAGGTAGAGTGTTTTTCATGTGCAGTGCAGCCCAAGCTGTTAACACTATTTCCCTATGTTACAGATATGTGCTGTTAGTGTCAACTGAACTTACAACTCTTATATTTAAAACATGAACAAAATACCTGGATCAGTGTACAAAAGGCATGAGAAATATTCAACCACTTTCTTTTCTAAGAAACAATATGAACTGTACTAATACTTCATTGTTAATGCAGAGTGCAATATCAATGTTATTATAAAACACGAAAGTGCTACAGGTGTTACAGTCCCACTACTTATCCAAAAGAGTTAGAACCACAGGAGTAGTGCGGTGTGGTCTGAAGGGGGCTGAGGGGGCCTGAGAGGGGCTTGAAGTGGCCTGTGAAGAGACCTGGGAGGGTTTGAGGGGACTGGAGTTGAGCTGAGGTCTGAGAAGGGTCCAGAGAGGGACTGGAGGAGGCCTGAGAGGAGCTTGAAGGAGCCTGTGAATGGACCTGGGATGGCTTGAGGAGGCTGGAGATGAGCTGAAGCCTGAGAGGCTGGAGGAGGCCTGAGCGGCTGAAGACCTCAGGGAAGCTAGAGGAGGCAGCAGCGAGCTTGAGAGGGCCTCAGGGAGATGGAGGAGGCTGGCTGAGAGCTGGAGGGGGCTTGAGAAGGGCCTGAGGAAACCTGAGGGGGCTGGCAGGGCTTTATGTGGTTGGAGGCACTGGAGCAGGCCTAGTCATCACAGCCCAGGAGCTCCATGCGCAGGGTGATGCGCTCGTGCCACTCCCAGGGCAGGATACGCACGTAGCGGGCGTAAAACGGTGGCTCAAACACGTTCTTCTTGTGAGTGTTGTTGTCCACATTGCCTCGGAACAGCTGCAAACAGACACCCAATAGACAGACAAATGACTGAAAAGAATAATAACATAAATAAAATAACATTTACACTGCAAAAAATCATCTTCATTTGATTTGGGTAGTTTATAATTATATAGTCAGTATTACTGTCTTGTTTCAAGTTTATTATAATGTATTTTAAGCCATTTTAGAATGTTGTGGCCTCCTCAAAATCATAAGCAGAGTTGTGCTTTGTTTTATTCACACACACTTTTACCTTTTGTTCCGTTGAGATTCACAGTTCCATGGTTGACATTATCCATGGATTCTAGTGAAGGGGTATCAAAGGGAAGGGGTTTAAAAACACAGTACAGCAACCTAAATGTACAGGGTTTGTGTGCTAAACATGTGTGAATGAAACAAAACACAACTCCAGGTCTGTTTGTGATGAGGAAACGACATTAGAACATTGATCAGAAATAGTGTAATATGGGCCTTTAAACCCATGTAGATATCAGTGAGTCGTCGAACGCTGACAGCCTCCCTCAAGGTATTTAGGAGTGATTTGTACCTGCTCCACCCACACTCTGGTCCCAGACAGAGCCCTGGGCGGCTTCATTAAGTCAGCATTTTAGGCTCAGTAAAAGTTCAAAGCTCGAGTTCTGTTTATGAGATGATCTGAGGATCAGGTGAACAGCACAACACAGGCGTTTCTCATTACATTTGACATTTCATCAAAAAGCTGAACAAGCCGAAACTGCACACTGACAGGATGTGTAGGGATAGGCGATATATCTGTTCCAGTGTTGGTATCAGGCAATATCATGACATGATATTTTTTGCTGCCCCATTCTCTATGTGCGCTTTCAGAAATAAAAGTTTAAAATAACATTTTACAACATCACTGTATAAACAAGTGGACTATCAGAGTGTGACGTCACCCACAGCATTCTGCTCCAGTCAAATGAAGCTCACTGAAGCTGGCAGTTATATGAACAAATTTGGACCTGAGTTTCATATTTTCGTGTGGAAGTGACCTCAGTGAAAGAAGGTGTCTGATTTGTCTGGTATAATATTAATATTCATATCTTACTTTACAGACAAAATAGCAGAATAAAGACACCATGATCATGTAGAGCGGGTTAATATGAACATGTCAAGCCTGGTCAAAATGGAAATACAAGAGCATTATATGGCTGTCAGTTACACAAACATGTAACATATTATTTTATATGCCAGTTAAAAACATTTTGTTATTATTTTTACAATAGTGAAAAGTTAAAGTAACAATCACAAATTAACTCAAGTTACATTTGCGGGCCTTGCTATGGATTTTAAAAGCTAAATATTTGGTATTGAAAAAGATTGGTCACTGGTCACAGCAGCAGGCCAAATAATGGATATCAGTATCAGTTCAAATAATCCATATGGTTTCTGGCCTGAGCCAGACTGTGTCACATACAGAGAGAGCACGCTCACTTCTATGGAAGCCCAGGAGGCACATGCCAATAAACATGAACACAGCAAGGACTTGTGCAGAACGTGGAAAATAATGCAAAACAAATATATTCTTTTCACTTTTAGTGAATAGAGTTGTCACAGTACAAAAAATGAAAAGTCCATTGTAATACTAAGGAATAGATTCAATATTCATTACTGATTCAGATACCATGATGATGACAAAAAAAAAAAAACACTATTTAGACAATATGATGTGATTTTCAAAAATATATAAATCATATTACTTTCTTTTCTATTCCTGTTTGTGTGTAAACCCTCTAGATCCAGGTAGGTTCATGGTGGTCTGTGGGTGTATAATAGTTTATGTGCTCTTCATTCAACATCATTCTAAAACTATTCAGGAAAGGCTCATGTCTGGCATGTGAATGTAACTTTTTTAGTATCGATCAGCTCAGATCTGCTCAGATGAGTATCTACTTTCGATGCTTCTGACAACCTTAGTTGACAACCTTAGTTAATGTGTTTTTTAAATCAGTTCTAAGGCAGAAAACAAGCCCTGCTTTTGCAACAAATATCTACTAGCACTTTTCAGGATTCTGTTCAAAGTTCATATAAGTAAACACGTCAAGCAGAACTGCCAAAAAAAAACTGAAAAATGAACTAATTACAAGAATCACATTTCAGAACATGTTTGTACAGATCTAAACTACACGGTTAGTGGCTTTTATGCAGAGTAAGACAGGAGATTTTGTGGAGGAAATGATGGTGCTCCTAAAATCATGATTGCAGTGCTGAAAGGACTTGAGACGTCATGACATGACATGTCATTACAGATTGTACTCAGAAATGTCTACAAAATAACACTTTCAGTGGCATGCTTTTCTGTCATGTTTTGCCATCAGCCTGTGACAGTTTAGATCAGGATTTTCCAACATGTCACTTCAGCTTTAAGTATATAGAGAACAGTATTCATCACACTAGTATCAATATCCACATACTAATGAACACTAAAACTAACCAAAACCTAAATGAACCTTTGGAATATAAAAGAAAGTACTATTATTTAATGCTGAAAATCACATTCTATTCTATTGTCTAAAGAAAGTGAGTTATTTTTATCATTGTGGTACTGGAATCGGTAGAGTATCGAGTCTATTCCTTAGAATCAAAATCAAGTTTGAAATTTTAGCATTGTGACAACACTATGATCAGCACCACTAAGAGCCCACATCTTACCTTGTCCTCTCCGGTCCTCTCATCCTTTAGAACTCTCCAGCTCTGTCCGTCGTTGCTGTATGACACTTTGAACACAGACACAAACTGCACCACTCCAAAGTCCTTGGCTCCCTGTGTGATGATGCCTGAGATGCGCTTTGTCTTCTCAAGATCCACCTGCAGTTATCATAAACAACATTATAATACACACCCAGAATTCCCACAGAAACTAACAGCGTGAGTTGCAGTGAACATACTTGAAAAAAATTGAGTTTCAGAGATAGTGGATTATTGTTTCAGTTAGATGTAACATTATCAATTACAGAAAAGCCTGAAAGCAGCTAATCAGGCTATACATTAATTCAGCTATGGATGAATTTTACATCCATATATTTTTTGTATTTGGCTTTATTTGAATGATTCAACCTTTGTCTCATAACAATTCAAATGGTAAGTTTATTGTCGATTAGCATTAAATAGTCTATGATCCCCCATGCTTTTTGCTAAATACTCTTCATTTGCATTAGTTGACTTCTTGTGTGTGTTACATTTACATGAGTGATTCACCTACTATGTAACTACAACATCTGCACATTAGACAGAGCACATCATCTTTTCACTATTTAATCAATTTCACATCTTTTAAACTGTCCCAATTATCAGTAAACGTTATACATGCACAGGGCTTTATCATTTATTATATTTTCCACACACATCTCCAGGGACCCTTTTTAATGATATAAGAAGGTGAAAAGTACACCAGATATTTCAGAGTTAAGGTGAAATCTATGTAGTCTATTCTCTTAAAAGTCACATCCGTGCCAGATAAGGGTCACTCATGTTTAATCTGATTAGTTTTAAAATAAACCACTGTCTGTGATTTCACTGTCTGTGAGCTCTAATAACACATGGCATATTTAGATCACCATGCTACTTTTGATTTTTCTTTTGCTATAGTCGCCGAAAACAACATATTCAAATATTTTATTAGTTTCAGTTTTGTTTTTGACCCTGTCAGTCTCCCCTCGCTTTGCTCTCTGTGTTAAGTCATCCCCCCTTCAGAGCGCTATCACAACACCCAACAACCCATCACATCAGGTCTGTGAAGTTGTAGTGTATTGTTTTGCATCACACCTTTGTATATTTATGAAAAATTGTTGCGTGGTTTTGGACAGAATCTTAAGGCTAACCACAAAGAGGGTTCGAATAGAGCCCGGGAAAGATCGTTAAATTACTCAAACATGCATGGATGGCAAACCTCTCCAGGCACGTTTTTGGTGAGGGTCAAAGAACAAAAACATTAGGTTAAGTTATTTGTCATTTATAGTTAAAATAAGGTATGCAACATCTGTTGGAAGAAAAGAGAACCACTATCCCACCCCCTCATATGGCTCTGTACTTCCTGGTATGCCTCTTTACTTCTTGACATGTCTTTGTACTTACTGACATGTCTCTGTACTTCCTTATATGCCTCTGTACTTCCTCATATAGCTCTTTACTTCCTGATATGCCTCTGTACTTCCTGGCTCTGTACTTCCTCATATGCCTCTGTACTTCCTGTTATAGCTCTGGTTTGTACTACCTGATATAGCTCTGTACTTCCTCATATGACTCTGTACTTCCTGACATGTCTCTGTACTTTGTGATACGCCTCTGTATTTCCTGATTTCGCTCTGTACTTCCTGATATGACTCTGTACTTCCTAATATGACTCTGTACTTCCTAATATGACTCTGTAATTCCTGACATGATTCTGTACTTCCTGATATGGCTCTGTACTTCCTGACATGACTCTGTACTTCCTGACATGTCTCTGTACTTCCTGACATGTCTGTGTACTTCCTGACATGTCTGTGTACTTCCTGACATGTCTGTGTATTTCCTGATATGGCTCTGTACTTCCTGACATGTCTCTGTATTTCCTGACATGTCTGTGTACTTCCTGACATGTCTGTGTACTTCCTGACATGTCTGTGTATTTCCTGACATGACTCTGTACTTCCTGACATGTCTGTGTACTTCCTGACATGTCTGTGTACTTCCTGACATGTCTCTGTACTTCCTGACATGTCTGTGTATTTCCTGACATGACTCTGTACTTCCTGACATGTCTGTGTACTTCCTGACATGTCTGTGTACTTCCTGACATGTCTGTGTACTTCCTGACATGTCTGTGTACTTCCTGACATGTCTGTGTACTTCCTGATATGGCTCTGACCTGCAGCCACTCGGAGTGGTTGTTGCTGGCGGGTGACCAGGCGTTGGTCTTGCCCTGCTTGTCGAGGCGGGCGTACTGCGGGTGCCAGGTGAACGTGTCGATGCCCCAGGTGCGGTGAGCGCTGGACGCAGACAGCTGGTTATCCGAGATCAGACGAGACTTCATCCCCAACGGCTCCGAGCAACCTGCCGTGTTCCAATACACTGTCAATGCAAAAGAGAGGGAGGAGCAGACGAGGGGACAGACGGAGAGGAAGAGGAAGAGAGGAGTGAGCAGGAGAGGGGAGAGAGAGGAAGAGAAAGAGAGGAGCGAGCAGGAGAGGAGAGAGAGGAAGAGAAAGAGAGGAGCGAGCAGGAGAGAGGAGAGAGAAGAAGAGAAAGAGAGGAGCGAGCAGGAGAGAGTAGAGAGAGAGAGGAAGAGAAAGAGAGGAGCGAGCAGGAGAGAGGAGAGAGAAGAAGAGAAAGAGAGGAGCAAGCAGGAGAGAGGAGAGAGAGGAAGAGAAAGAGAGGAGCGAGCAGGAGAGAGGAGAGAGAAGAAGAGAAAGAGAGGAGTGAGCAGGAGAGAGGAGAGAGAGGAAGAGAAAGAGAGGAGCGAGCAGGAGAGAGGAGAGAGAAGAAGAGAAAGAGAGGAGCAAGCAGGAGAGGGGAGAGAGAGGAAGAGAAAGAGAGGAGCAAGCAGGAGAGAGGAGAGAGAGGAAGAGAAAGAGAGGAGCGAGCAGGAGAGAGGAGAGAGAGGAAGAGAAAGAGAGGAGCGAGCAGGAGAGAGGAGAGAGAAGAAGAGAAAGAGAGGAGTGAGCAGGAGGAGAGAGGAGAGAGAGGAAGAGAAAGAGAGGAGCGAGCAGGAGAGAGGAGAGAGAGAGGAGCGAGCAGGAGAGAGGAGAGAGGAGCGAGCAGGAGAGGGGAGAGAGAGAAAGAGAAAGAGAGGAGCGAGCAGGAGAGGGGGGAGAGAGGAAGAGAAAGAGAGGAGCGAGCAGGAGAGAGGAGAGAGAAGAAGAGAAAGAGAGGAGCGAGCAGGAGAGGAGAGAGAGAGGAGCGAGCAGGAGAGGGGAGAGAGAGAGGAGCGAGCAGGAGAGGGGGGAGAGAGGGGATAGAGACACACAGAAAAAGAGAGAGAGAGGAGGGGAGGAGGGGAGAGACAAAAAGAAAGAGAGGAGCGAGCAGGAGAGGGGAGAGAGACAAACAGAGAGAGAAACAGGGAGAAAGAGAGAGGAGTGGAGCAGGAGAGGGGAGAAAGAGACATGGAGAGAGAGAAAGAGGGACAAGCAGGAGAGGGAGAGAGACGAAAAGAAAGAGAAAGAGAAAGCAAGAGAGAGAGAGAGAGAGAGAGAGGAGTGGAGCAAGACATGGAAGAGAGAGAGAAGAGAGAGAAAGAACGAGAGGGAGAGTGGAGCAGGAGAATGAAGAAATAGGGAGAGAAAGAGAGCGAGAGAGAGAAATGAGCGGAGCAGGAAAGGGAGTAGAGAAAGGAAGAGAAAGAGGAGCAGTAGACGGAAGAGAGTGGGGAAGAGAGACCAAGAGAGAGAGGAGTGTTGCAGGAGAGGAAAGAGAAAGAGAGAGAGCAGAGCAGGAGAGGAGTGAAGCATGGCCAGAGAGAGAGAGACAGGAAGAGAAAGAGAGGAGCGAGCAGGAGAGAGGAGAGAGAGAGGAGTGAGCAGGAGAGAGGAGAGAGAGAGGAGTGAGCAGGAGAGGGGAGAGAGAGAAAGAGAGGAGCGAGCAGGAGAGGAGTGAAGCATGGCCAGAGAGAGAGAGACAGAAACAGCCAGTGAGACTCCCGAAGCAAAGCAGGAACAAAACTAGAGCTGCACAATACATCGCAAAATCATCCTTTTTTTTAAGTTTAGTTAAAGAACTGAAGTCTTTATTTAGTCCAAATGTAGTCTGGGATTAGTGTCTGTCAATATTTTATTTTGTTTGACTTATGAATAACAATTATACAAAGTCCTTATAGCAAAACTAAACAATCAAATCTTTTGATGTCATATTGTGCAGCTCTAAACCAAAGCTTCAAGTGAAAGGCCCGGGCGCTCACACAAGACGCCAGCACAGACAGAGGTTTTCTAATTAAAGACTCTACATAAAGCAAACGTTGTTATGATGTTGTATCCTCATCGCAAACAGACCTACAGTCACACATGTTTAACAAACAAATCACACACATTTAGGCTGTGTTCTTCTCTGCTCCACATTGTGAAGTCACTGAGTGGTGATACAAGAATTATTTTTACATACACCTTCACTAGAATCATTTGGATAAGCCCTGGAATTGACACATTTTGAAGGTGCATCTTGTTGAAACTGCTTCACTCCTCAGTGCAATCTGAACTGAACAGAAGGTAAAACAAAAATATATTTTCAAAAACGTACAGTTACTGTAATGTATTCTAGAGTAAAGAAGTTTATTTCAAATTTTTCTAAAAATAGCTCTTAACTTTAAAACTACCACTTCATGACATCACAAGGTGGAACGGAGCTTTTAAAACTGATGTAGAGCACCTAATAATGCAGGACTACTCAAACATGTGTGACTGAAACAAACATCAGGTCTGTTTTTGCAGAGGTAGCAGTATAATAACATGGCTTAAACCTCACTGAGTTGTTTCTGGGTAATATAGGACCTTTAAGAATAACATTACAGTGTTTCAGCTCCTCTGGAAAATAAAGAATTATCCTGGTGTCTATATTCATTTCGCCAAAGTCGGATGATTTGTAGACAACTCCTCCATGTGAGAATTTGACCCACACGGCTCTGTCCAAACAACACAATGAAAAGTGTCTGTGCAACATTAGCACCGTGTTGCGTAAGTACGAGCTCAAACTTTGTGGTGGTGGGTAACAGTTTGTTTTTCTAATGAGCAGCAGATTGTCCCTGTGGTGTGAGAGTATGTGACCACAGTCCTGAAAACAAGACTGTAAAACAAAGGAATGCCTCGCGCTAACATGTCATTTGACACACACCATGGCCCTCCTAATGACAGCGGTGACAGGACGGACTTGCGCTCTGCCTGTGTTCTGCGCAGAGACAACCAGAACATGATGTGCTCTGCTCTCGCTCTGGGCACTTCATGTATGACAGTCTCAAAGCAGATGTTCGTGCTTGTTTAAATTAACACGATTGTCTGTCTATGTTATTGGGCGTTCACCACATTTTAGAGTTTGATGTCATAGTTTGATCTAGAGCAAAGGGGCCTCTGTAAATGTATGGGACATTCAGTTTTTTACACTTCTATGGGTTATTAATTTTTTTAATTGGTTTTGCTCTCCCTGCTCACTCCCCTCAGAGCTCCATCACAACACTCAGCATGCATTCCACTAATAAAACCATTGCACATCACATCAGGTTTGTGACGTTATAGTGTTTTGTAACCTGCTCTTGTATAGAAAAATGGCTCTGCTGGAGCGTGCATGACCTAAGCCCGTACTGTAACTGTCAACAAGGTTCAAGTAGGGCCCAGGAGGGAGCCAGGTTAGCTCCTCCCTGCAGAAAGATATAAGGAAGTATCTGGAAGCATAAGTATAAAGAAGCATTTTGACCAGAACTGAAGAAGCAGCTTGGATGAGCTGCGAAACGTATTCGACTTAATACATTTTTGTCCAATTGACAAATCGAATATCTCCTTTGCGATCGCAAGATTACATTAACATGCACGGATGACATATAAAATCATTTCGGGCATGTTTGAAGATGGAACAATGTTATAACATGATTGAAAGATCCAAAAATGCCATTTTGAATGAATAATACCTCCAAACTTAAGGCTGTACAATTAATTGAATTTTGATCGCAATTTTGATTTGTGTGTCAAACTGATCTCCAAACTCACATAATCGAGTTGAAACAATTTAACAAAGTTAATTTTATTTAACTATATTTATTTTATTTTTTTTAAATATTGATTGTAGAACAGCTGGATATATAGCTTATTTTGGATACATTTATATTTTTCTGTCTTATTTCATGTTCAAAGTATATTTTATTCATTTTATGTTTTACACATCGCAGAACTGCTGTAACGTACAGATATATAGCCTATATTTACTGTCAATTTGAAAGTTTTGCTTAAATTATCAATACCAAAGTGTCTTTTTTTCTTTTTTGAGAGAGGAATGCTGAATAAATGCATCGTGTATCGTGTAAGCATAATCATGATTTCAACATTGACCAAAATAATCGTGACAATAATTTTTTCCATAATCGAGCAGCCCTACCATAACTATAAACCAGGTTATTCTGATTTTTAAATGGCTGTATACTCTGACCTGAAGTTGTTATGCCAAAGTGAAACTAATCTCTGGAACAGTTTTGTTGTTTGTCCTGTTTGCATTGGTCCAGTGACAGACTCATATCTCAGTGCGAGTTTTACCGTTGAGCTCACAGCCCACGAGCTCCATGCGCAGGGTGCAGGCTCGCCGGCACACCACTGGGATGATGCGAATGTACTGGGCCACGATGGGGGGGTCGAACAGGTTGGTCTTTGTGCTCTCATTGTCCACGTTCCCCACAAAAACCTTAGAAGAACCAACATGAGTACAGGCCTCAGTACACACGTCACACACACATCAGGCTCTGCTATCTACAGGCTGTTATTAAAGAGCCTCTACTGCACTTTCCTCAAACATGTGTGAATAAAACAAAACACAACTCCAGGTCTGTTTTTGAGGAGTAACCGCATTATAACAAAGCTTAAATCAACTATTTGGTAAAACCCTGCTGCTGTGATTTTGGCCTCTACAAAAATAAACTGAATACATGCATCAAGAATCTCGGACTTCTGGTCATTGCGTAATTCATACTGGGAAGGATTTTCCGAAAAAAGTGAGCATCAAACCGCCATGTTTGTTTTCCCAGTGGGATGCGTCTATTGACAAAGTCAATCTTTTCAAGTCTTTTGAACCATATCACTTTTGTTTCTGGTTCTGATATTGTCATATTTTAGTTTGGGGATTCGGACATTGTTAATTGTGTGGTTGTTGGATCCTAACAGTGGAAAATGGCTCGAGAAGTGTGTTTGCAAACTCCATAAATGCAAAAGGGAATCAGATGTGTGTGACTGCAAACCTCTGTTCAAACTGTTTCCCTTCCCAACGAATTGAAAAATAGTGAAAGGCGAAGACGATGGGCAGGATTGATCCACAGGAAGGACGAAAAAGCTTTGACTGACTAAATCATCCTGAGTTTGCAGCGAACATTTTCTATGTGGATCAAAGTGGGATCCCGTTTGTTAAATGAGAGGTGCAGAAGACAAACAGACTGAGCTGCACTTTCTTGTTCTTGTGGTTTTACAGCAACATTAAGTCTTGGTTTCTTTGCAGTGGAAGGTGTTTCTTGGCAAACAGCTGGTGCCTTTCGCTTTGGCGTTGACTTTTTAAATTCGTAACCGAGGCTGGGAGGGATCGCGATTTTGCTTTGATGTCGCTCCACATACAAAATGTTCGCTGCAAAATTGGGATGATTTAGGCAGTCAAAAGTTTCCTTTTTCATCCTTCCTGTGGATCAATCCTGCCCATCGCCTTCGCCTTTCACTATTTTTCAATTCCGTTGTGAAGAGAAACAGTTTGAACAGAGGTTTGCAGTCACACACATCTGATTCACTTTTGCATTTATGGAGTTCGCAAACAAATTTCTCGAGCCGTTTTCAGCTGTTAGGATCCAACAAACACAGAATTAACAATGTCCGAATCCCAAAACTAAAATATGACAATATCAGAACTAGAAACAAAAGTGATATGGTTCAAAAGACTTGAATAGATCGGCGTTGTCAATAGACGCATCCCACTGGGAAAACAAACATGGCGGTTTGATGCTCACTTTTTCAGAAAATCCTTCCCAGTATGCATTGTGCAATGACCAGAAGTCCGAGATTCTTGATGCGTGTATTGAATGATACAAAATAATCATTTCAGATGGTGAAGAGGGACTTGTGTGACTCTATGGGTGATTTACTGGGTGTAAACTGAAAACTATGTATGAGTTATATAGTTCAACAATATTAGTACTGTACTATTATTGTATATTTTGTGTTCGGAATATTATTGAAATATATAGCCATGGCTCTAAATCCAAATATATTCGACTTTCAGAGTACCGCCAGATCTAATTCCGGATTATTTAAGGTCTACAATAGGACTCTCATTGGGGTTGCCAGTTTCAGTGCTGAAATCTAGTTGGTTTAAACCTTTTAGTCTCACCTTATCCCGCCTCTGGCCTTCTGCTTTGTAAGTGCTGTAGCTCTGACCGTCCAAGCTGAATGCAATCTTATAGGCTTTGATGAACTCTGCTGCGCCCAAGCGGCTGGCTCCCTGAGTGATGATCCCCGTGAGCCTCATGGTCTTCTGCATGTCGATCTGTCACACAGAAAGCATGGTACAGACTATAAGTGATGCACAAATCATGAGCATGGTACAGACTATAAGTGATGCACAAATCATGAGCATGGTACAGACTATAAGCCAAAAATTAACTATAATAAATCAAGCCCATGTGGACCGGGTCACTACAGCCACACAAACAGATCTGCGATAGATTGTATGGCTAGTAACAAAAGTGACAAAAGACATTATTATGATTTTTTTCTTCTTCTTCTTGAACAATGAGTCTTGATGTCTCATTTGATTTATTTTTGTCTTACTACTAATAAACTAATAAAAAATATTAATTTCCTGAACATTAACAGACATTCAAGGCATGAGGTAGTGTAATGTGCAGATTTAGTGTCATGGTGATGGTGTAGAACAGGGGTGTCCAAACTTTTTTCATCAAGGGCCACATATCTAAACACAGACAAAGCAGAGGGCCGATCGAGAGCCGTAGACGGGTGCTCAGTACAGTTAATAATTGAAATATGTACATGATTAACACGTTAGAATGAGCCATCGTCTTTATTCATGCTAAGATCCTTAAAACCACACACTAAATATTCAACATTAGCTTTATCAAGGTAGATTTTCAAAAAACTTGCAGTAAAAAAATATTTTTTAATTGATGCAATTTAATTTGGGCCAAATCACCTGGAAGTCTGAGGGCCAAGAAAAATGTGTCTGAGGGCTGCATTTGGCCCCCGGGCCATAGTTTGGACATGCCTGGTGTAGAATAAAAAAAACCAAAAAACATTATTCATGTTCATTTTGACAGGAAAAGATTTGTTTTGGCCTTTTTTTTTTTTTTTTTTAAACCAAATGATTTTTAGTTTTAGCTCACCAACGTGTCAGTTAATTTAGTCGACCAAATCCATAATAGCTTAATAATATTTTTCATTTTAATCATTATAAATTATATGCCATTGTTTCAGGGACATGCACAGACGTGTTGGCCTGGTTTGTGGTTCGACTGAATAGTGGAACTTGGATCTAGTCTCTACTCGCTCTTTTCATTCATTCATTTATGTTTGTTTTTTATCTTTTATAATCTGATAAAAAATCTCATTTTTATTTTAATCATTATAAATGATATGCCATTACTTCAAGGAACATGTAGAGACACGTTGAGTTTAGTAGTACTAGGGTCTTGTCTCTGCTCTCTACTTTTAGTCATAATAATGACTTTTTATTTAAGGCTTACATTGTTTAAAGGTTCTATATTATGCAAAGCAAAAGAAAAATTCAATTCTGTCAACTGGACAAAAGTTTTAGAGTGAAGATTTTTCTCCACTCATCCAAGTGACTTCATCAGTTCTAGCCATCATTAGGGGCTTGTCTGTTTACATCTCCAAAGCTCAAAATGCTCTGTTCCACCTTGTGATGTTATGAAGTAGTAGTTTTCAATTAACAGCTCCTTTTACTGTTTGTTCAGTAAAGATTGGAAACTCCAAGGCTGAAATCATGTGCAGGGTTTGTGTGTTAAACATGCGTGAATGAAACTAAACAAGTTGAACACATAGTGCAATATGAACCCATTAAGTCAATCATTTTAGACAAATGAGCACAGTACAGTCTAAGTACAGTCTAAGTACAGTCTAAGTACAGTCTAAGTACAGTCTAAGTACAGTCTAAGTACAGTCTGGACACTGACTTGGATCCAGGGGTTGCGGTCATGAGCAGCTGAGGTCCACGCGTTGACGATGCCCTGGTTGTTGAGTCGGGCTAACTCTGGGCCCCAACGCTGAAGTCCCATGATGCCGTAGTGCACCGAGGAGGCGGAAATCTGGGACTCCACGATAGCCCCGCCCTCCATGCCCAGCAAGGAAATGCAGCCTTCACACAGATACTCGCATGTTAAATCACCAAACACACATACCTACTTACACAGTGTTGATTTAATGATCCCTTGTAGTAAAGGCTAGACCCGCCTGCACAGTCAAATATAACAGTGTTTAATATATTGTAATTTGTAACTAAAGATGTCAAAATAATAACTTGTGTATGTATATGTATGTGCAGGTGTATTGTATGAGATATGTGTATAAGGGATGCCCCCAAAAATAAAATATATTATATTTATATATTTATATTAAAATATATATAATATAAAAATAATGAAGAAAAAAAACCAAAAAAAAAACTATTCACATTTGCCTCCATATGCCGCTAAACTTTCTTTGTGGTGGCACTTCTGGTTAAGCAGGAATCCTATTCATTTCTAGGGTCCGACCAATAGCTAGAGTATAGCCAACAAGCTTATACTCTCTATATTATGTCTATTTAATCCTATTTACAAACAGATAAATGTCCTAATATGTGGCACTGCATCAGTATTCATCAGAGGTGCCATTTGTCTGTGCTGTTGTTTACACCAGGTATTATATTCCTTTTATAGACGATCATTTTGAGTCAGGATTAACATTTGTGAAAACTTGTGATCTGAGAGGGGCCTGTGTGAGTGGTGAATGTTGCAAATATGTCATTTTGGAATGTGTGTATTTTTGGAGCTACTTGTCATGCGTTCTCATTAATTAGCTGCTATAAGATACCCTCATAAACAGCCTGTTTTCTCTTACAAAAGCATACTATAAAGAGACTATAGTGACAGTACTGGACCCGCATTGTTATGTAAATGAACTGTGAACAAAAGTGGTCTGCATTTACAGATATCATTAATTACCGCAGTGCACACACATTATCATATCCAATAGAGCCAAACCTAAGTTCTATCTTAAGTTGAAGATTTACAGTGAATTTTTACATCACTAGTGGCTATCGGCACCTCTTTTGTCGGTATCATACCAGATCCAAAAAAATCATATTGCTCGGGCCCTATTCATTTTACTGAATCAAGAATTTAGAAAAGTTTGGCTGCTAAAATCTGATATAAAGTAGGTTGATTGTTTGTAAAATGTCCATGTGATCAACAAGTCACACTGTTTTAAAGCGGTTTTGTAGTCTGTAGTGGCAGCCCCATGTAAAAGAATACAACACGAATGAGGACAGTGGCCCAATAAGAAAGTGGTAGCAGTAATCTGGAAGTCTAGTGTGAAATTTTGTTATTGTAACATCCCAAAGCTGTATGTATATTTGTATGTGTAAACTCAGAAATGCTTCAAACTACAAATAAAAAATAAACATGGTTAGAAGAGTCTGTAGTTTCTGCGGGGAGAGGGTGTGGTGCAGACGTACGTAGCTGGCACTGTTTGCCCACATAGGGAGAGGAGCACTCGCACGTGTAGTCTCCGTCCAGGTCCCTGCAGCGCCCTCCGTTCTTACACGGCTGGGTGGCGCAGTCATTCACATCTGAAAAGGACACACAACACATTTAGTTGAACAGTTCATCACTTTTACTGTGAACACCCACTTCAAATGGTTTGGTCTCATTACTCCGGTTACGTTCAATCTGAAGGGCTGACAAACTTGAATAGAAATAAAACACCTGACATTCTAAAAAGTTAAATGTATCAGTTTATGGACATATGAGGTTGGAAAGCTACTAATCGATAATAATAATAAATAGTAGAGCCCGACCGATATAGATTTTGCTGTGGCCGATATGAAACCGATATAATGGGAGTTGTAGCTGCCGATAGCCGATATAATCGCCGATATATTTAGTGATGTAAAAATTCACTGTAAATCTTGAATTGTTTAAAAAAACTTAGGTTTGGCTCTGGTGGATTTTAAATTGGGTTTATTTAGGCGACATTTATTGTTATTCTGCCTCTTTACATCATATTTACAGACAGTAGGTTGGTTTAATGGCATTTTTGCATCACATTCTAGACACTCGTGATGGGTATTCCAGTTCTTTTTGGAGAACCGGCTCTTTTGGCTCGGCTCACTAAAAGCTGCTGGTTCTTTTAGCTCCCAAGCGGTTCTTCAGATTGTTTTGTTGCAAGCAGGTCTAAAGCACATCTAAAGCAGGACTGAATCAGGACTGAACCAGGACTGAACCAGGTCTGAACCAGGACTGAAAAAGGACTAAACCGGGACTTATTTATTTTATGCTAAACTACAGCCAAATATGCTCATTTTTTTTATCCTATGTACACGCAAATTTCTCAAAGTTTCGTTTTCAGCCGCTGCCGCTGTCAAACCACGAGTCTGCACGCGGCGTGAAGAGAAAAAAAGTGAGAGAAAGAGAAACACGGCTCCCAATAAGGATCAGGCCCCCGTCGTTCGCTTCAAAGAGTCGGCTCTAAGAGTCATTTCGTTCGCGACCGACCCATAATTAGTAAATAAACAATCGCTATTAGCCTTTAGCCGTAAATACGTGCCCGCCGCGGTAATTAATTATATGCGCAAATGTCATAATTCACACGTTTATTCACAGCTCATTTACATATCAGTGCTGGTCCAGTAACAAATATACGGCCAATATAGTCACTTTACAATAGACCAATAGAAAACAGCCTGTTTAAGTGCGGGAGCTACAGCAGCTAACCCATACAAATGACCAAAACTAGCTTCAAAGTGGACATATTTCCAACACTCACCGCTCATACAGACTCCTCCTCACATCACAAGTCTGCACTAATAAATGTCCTTTAAATCCAGACTCAAACCGATTGTCCGTAAAAAGAAAATAATCTCAGTGTTGCGCCCAGCTGCGGGTGTAAACAAACGCACGTGAATGACGCGACTCTGTGGTGTGTTCAGGGACAGTATGGACACACACAGACAAATGACTCCGTAGATAAATACTGATGCGGAGCCACATATTAGGACATTTATCTGTCTGTAAATTGGATTAAATTAACAGAATGTAGAGAGTCTAAGATTTTTAACAATGTATCACATGCCCACGTAAAATATCGGCCCCTATCAGCAAGCATATCGGCCGATAGCCGATATGTCCCAGGTGCCCATATCAGCCGATAATATCGGCCAACCGATATATCGGTCGGGCTCTAATAAATAGTCCAGAATAATAAAATATCGACATGAATACTAATTTGAGCCAGTACTGATACTAAAAGGTCACATTCATTGGACAGACATGAACCTTTCCTGAATAGCTTTGGAATGATTTGTATCAGAGCACATAGACTAGTACACGCACATGGACCACTGAGGGACTACACATTACACAGATATATACGGACACATGGCAATATAAAGAAAGTACTATGATTTAATGTCGAAAATCACATTCTATTGTCTAAAGAAAGAGATTTTAGTAAGGTGACAGCACAAGACTGTGGAACATTCCTGGCCAAGCAAAGACTTCTTCATAAGAAAAGCATATGGCAGGCCCTCCACCAGAAAAGTGACATGGTGTACCTTTAAAAACCTCATTACAGCTGAAGACAAGCAGGTTAAGGGTTAGATTCAATCACAGGTGCTGACATAGTTTTCCTCTAAAGGTCAAACAGAGGTCAGGGTTAATGCTATTTATGCTTTTATACAAAGAACTGCTCTGTGTCAGCAACAGATAAAGCCAGGTGGGCAGAGTAGCCAAAAACTCAAGTAAGACTAACCCTACCTCAAAATAATATTCAACAAGAAGGACAAAGCAGTGGTCTGAGAAAAATCTGGTATTTTCAAAGGATGAAACACAAAAACGAGACAAACTATCTGAAGGAGCGGTACAAGAAACACAAATGTTCAAATAATTTCATATTGTCAGTGTGGAAAGAATAACCATCATTTTTACTCAAGTAACAGTACTGTTACTTCAAAATAAATATTACTCAAGTAGGAGTACAAGTATATGAGAAATGCTACACTGAAAAGTAAAATTTCTTAAAAATTTAACTCAAGTAAATGTATCTGAGTACTTCCCACCTCTGAATATGACTCAGGGTTAATATGACAGTGCTACAACGAAAGCCACTCAAAGCAAGTCTTGTACTGCCGGGTAGTGTCCACAAGAGGGCGGGATTGACCACTTTAACTACAGCTGAAGGATAAAGAGAATGACACAAAATATTGAACCATGTCCCCATATGACCAGCAGGTGTCAATAGACCTCCTACAACAAGCTGAAGTAATGCAATGCAAATGAATGACATTTCCAGAGCACATTCCTGAAAATACATGGCTTTCCTCTAAGCTGTGCTGTTTTACTCTGGAATTTGCCAGTAAGAGACAGCACATGAAACTGTACACTGCATTTTTATTCCAGAGGTTATTAATTCAATGCCAAATGAGACTTCCACACTGTGCCAAAATAGACTGGTCCATTCTGATGTCTGGTGTCATTACACCAAAATTTCACACTTTTTTTGAATACTAAGTAATAGACTAAGTACTCATTGTGATAATAATAATAATAATAATAATAATAATAATAATAAACTGTCTTTAGACAAAACAATATGATTTTCATTAAATTGTAGTACTTTCTTTTATATCACAATGAAGTCTTATATGTGTGTAATCTTCAGTGGTGCAGTAGGTTCATTTTGGTGCATGTGTGTAGTCTATGTGCTCGAATACTTGTTCTGATACAGATCAACATCATTCTATTCAGGAAAGGTTCCTTACTGTCCTGTCAGCGGGACTTTGTTGGTATCAGTATCTCCTCATATGAGTATCTCATTTTGATACTAGTTTTAATATTGATTACTATCTGATTTTGAAGTCCATACTAGGGTTCAGAATAAATCTTGCAATAATTACTAAAAACCTGAAAAAAATGTGGACCATCTAGGCAGATTTTTGCAATAACAATATCTGATATCTGTATTACTGATGTCGCCGATACCTCATAGCCAATATTGATATCAATATTTAAAAAAAAACAAAAACAAAACATGGTAAGGCCCACAGACTGAAGTTAAGTTGTAGTTAGGTTCACATATTAGCTCTACTTTAGCTTATAAAATGTTGTTTCTTGGTATTCAAATTGGATTTGATACTGTGTTGGTGGTTTTCATATTCAAGAATAGGGTTGTCAAAAGTATCGAAAATCAGATACTAATTTATCTTAAAACTAGTGTTCAAACTTGATACTCATTTCATTTGAGGAGATATCGATACTAAAAAGTTCCATTGACAGGACAGAAATTAACCTTTCCTGAATGTCTTCAGAATGATGTTGAGCTGCATCAGAACAAGTAGAAGAAACATAGACTAGTATACACACATGGACCATCTATTGTCTAAAGATTTATTTATTATCATCACGCTGGAATCGGTATTAAATACTGAGTCTATTTCATAGTATCAAAACTCAAAAAATAGATTCACAAAAGTTGATCCAAATAAATTCTATTAGTGACCTAAGACTTAAGACCTTTAAGAAGTCTGCCACGCATCTGCATTAAATATGATTGGTCTATAGAATGATGATGACCTGATGGTGGCCTGATGGAGCAGACATGACCAGTGCTGACCTGTTGGAGCAGACATGACCAGTGCTGACCTGATGGAGCAGACATGACCAGTGCTGACCTGTTGGAGCAGACATGACCAGTGCTGACCTGATGGAGCAGACATGACCAGTGCTGACCTGATGGAGCAGACATCACGGGGGCTGACAGATGACAGTGACGTAACAGCAGCACATAGGCCTGTGTTACTGTGTTATTGCTCCTGTTCCTGTAAGCTCTAAGAGGATTGGCCTCTGTCTAGTGCTGACAAACAACTGACCCAACACAACTGACCCAACACAACTGACCCTCAACGAACCCAACACAACTGACCCAACACAACTGACCCTCAACGAACCCAACACAACTGACCCAACACAACTGACCCACAACTGACCAAACACAACTGGTCGTGGCCATACCAGCTTGTCAAAACCTGATCTTGTCAGATCTCAGATGCTCAGAGGCTGGGCCTGGGTAATACTTGGATGGGAGACCACTGGGAACATCAGGTGCCACAGGGGGCACCAGTGGCAAAATGGCCATTGTGTCCTTAGGCAAGACACTTACATTGCCTAGTAAGAAAGTGGTGTGTGTGTGTGTGTGTGTGTGAGTCATGGCACTGCACACACATAGCTTTTTTACCTTTGGTTTCCACATTGAAGCCTAAGCCCAGAAGCCAAATTGCCTCAGAGCAATTTCCGTGAGAGGAAACTGTGAAATATGTGCGGAGATTCACAAGTGTGTGGATAATCACAAATCTGCACCATTTTTTTTAGATATATTCTTATATATCTTATACAAGCTTATATACTTATGGCTCTAGCTCTCACGTTAGCTCTCTCACGTCGCGACGGTCTGAGCACGTAAACACTGTCAAACAACTGAAGAAAATGATGGATCTGTGCGCGGCTGTCACCTGCAGGCAGCACGCAAATGATGCAAATGTATCACTCTTTTGAACACATTGTTTTGAGAAGAAAAACGCTTTATTTTAATGTCTCCAGCCAACGTGCCAAACTACTTTCGTCAGCACCAAAACCGGCCAGTATCTCAACTCAGTGTAAGTCAGTGTGGATGCACGACACTGCTGATGGGGATGCCAAACAGATTCATGTCAGAAAACCCAAACTATCCCTTTCAGTTCTGGCCAGTTCTGAGTCACTGCCTTATACCTGTCTGAAGACAGGAGAATACTACACTCAAACTTTCTAAAAGCTGCACTTGTGATTAACCAGGAAATCTTTTGTTGGTAATACATGAAGATGGTTTGAAATTCAAACTGGTTTATGTACTGTAGATTTCATGAAGCCTCTGGTGAGCAACTTGGAGAGGAACAGCAAGCTGCTGGTGGAGAGCTCTGCTCTACTGTAAAGTCTGGCATAGAAAGGCAAAGAAAGGCTCAGACTCAGAGCATGAAACATGAAGGACAAGACACAGGTTTTGGTCAGTGTCCTTTAGGACCAATCGCAGTCTAATCTAAATATATTCATTATCCATTTTCTTCCTCTGGCACCAGGTCCTGGGGGCAGGGACTCTCAGATTCACCCCAGACACTTTCTCCAGCTCTTCCGGTGGGACCCCAAGGCATTCCCAGGCAAGTCGAGAGATATAGTCTCTCTAATGTGTCCTGGGTCTCCCCAGGGCCTCCTCCGTAAATGGAGAGCTTTGACTTTGGACTCAGCTTCTTCCTCACCACAACAGTCCGATACAGCGACCTCATCACTGCAGACAGTGCATTGATCCGCCTGTAAATCTGTAAATAAAAAAGACCCCAAGATACTCCTCTGCGTAAGGCAGGGACTCTCTACACAATTTAATCAAACCAGTTTTATTGACTAAATCATCTTCAACCCAGCCTGAATCAAGAATGGATACTCCACCTCAAATGTTTTGACACAAACAGTTTTTATTTTTAAATACTTTTTGTATACCTATCTAATTTTAAAACCAAACTTTGAGTATCAGTTCAATAGTTCCCTCTCCAGTTCATATTGTAGTGGTGCTGTACTTACTGACCAAAATAAATGAGTAACCTGCACATCCCTCACATTAGCTAATGGTATATTTCAGCTTGTAACTATGAATTAAGCTCTTGCGTCATCTAGAATGAGCTGGGAGTTGACTTCAGGCTGCAAAAACACTACAATTGGTGGTCAGGCCGTAGGCGGAGGGATACTTCAGAATACTAAGAGAAGAACTACTTTTCAAAGCCTTGCATTCTCAGCATTGCTTCTCACATGCAAATACAGGCTTATACTGGATTCTTCGACACATTTGGTGAAGCCCAATGAAGGAAGAGCACAGAAAAGATGTGGGTCTGTGCGGAGGGCTGCTGCATGCTAAGAGACTTGGAGTGGCCTCTCTTAATTAGCCAAAGAAATGAGACCCGAGCCACAGAAAGAGTCTTTTCATTGGAACAGGCTGAATGCTCCCTCTGCACTCAAGCTGTGACAAGATGGAAATATTGAAATTATATTACCAATAGTGATTCATAGTTGCTGCTGTTGGATATTCCACATGTAATGATTATTTAAAAAAAAAATTTTGTCAAGACTTATCGTGCTTGCGTCCGCGATGAAGTTATAAACTATGACACCTGGGGACCATTACGTTATAATTTGGACATTTTAAAGATTAATTGAAAAAGACTAAATACAAAAAACTAGTCCACTGACTTCCAATGAATGCTTACATCCCTGTAAACATCATCACAACAAAGCGCTGCATGCTGCATGTATGAATCGAATCTCTAAACACACCTTTGAGAGCATAAATGAGAAGGGTAAACAACTAAAACATGGTTAAAAGCTTTGAAAAGTAGATTTAGCAGAATAGGCCTGCTTTAACAGTCACTGACTGGGGGTGTTGTGGTGAAAGTGGCTCCAGCACACTCACTGATCTGGCAGTGCGCTCCCTCGAAGCCCGGCTGGCAGCGGCACAGGTACTCATTGAAAACATCCCCTCGTCTGGTGGGAGCCAGCACCTCGCAGGTCCCATCATTCTGGCAGGGGTTAGGGCTGCAGGGGCCTGGGAGGGGGCACAGGCCGATACGGGTCAGACACAAAAACAACTATTACATTTAGGTTTGTGCAATTAAAGGCCCTGTGCCCAGTTTAGGTCTAATGTAGACTTGGTTTGGTGCTGTTTTGCTCCTGGTTTAGTTCTGGTTTGGTCCAGGCTTAATTTTGTGTTTTGTCCCAGTTTAATCCTAGTTCTGATATGTTATATCAAAACTGGATATGTTATATATTTATATATGTTGTATATTTATATATGTTATATATTTGATATGTCTAAATGTTCCTCTGTCTTACTAACTCTGTAGTCTAAACCTCAACAAAGGTGTTCTGAAATGGATTTGAAAGGAATGCCACAAAAGAAAATCACATTAACTAGATATTCTAAATGAATTACAAATTGTGCAGAAAATTTTAACTTGCTTTACTTAAAGTACAAATGTGTGTTTATGCAAGCACCTCATTCTACATACTAGTGCTGTATTGCTGGTGGGCTTGTTAAGTCACTGGTTCACTCTTTCAGGTGGTACTGAGCCCTCTGCAGCTCACACACTGACAGAATGTAGAGTCAGTTCTGTCTGGCCTCTTTTGCCTTAGTCATTGTTTACAACAAGTATAGCAATTGTTGTCTTTTTTGGCCTAGTTCAAATCTGGAATGGTTCTGCTTTGGACCTGCTTTAAATTAAATTAAATAAAATTTACATATTGTGAATGTTTACAATGTGTGTGTGTGTGTGTGTGTGTGAGAGAGAAGAGATTAAATCTTTGTTGTGCATCTTTATATTTCTAATAATCCCTTATGGAGCCAGAGGCTATATTCTGGGGCAGACATGAACCCTGAACCTGGCATTGCCCAACACTGCACTACAGTCTGACAGTCTGGACATACAGTTAATCATACAGGTCTGGGCACTCTGGCCATACTGCTCTCTGGACAAGCTGATCTCTGGACATACCTGTCTCTGTGAGATTGCAGGTGTCTCCTGCGAAGCCATCTGCACAGATGCAGATAAAGGGGTCTTCTCCCACTCCGGTCACACAGGTTCCTCCATTCAGACACTGGTTCACCTCACAATAGTCACCTGAGACAGACACAACACAGACTGACTGAGATGGGAGCCGAACATCGGGTCAAACAGTATTGGATACATGTGTTACCATAGAAACAAGACATCAACCCTCTGAAACTGTAGCTTTACTAGATTCTATTTAAAAACAATGTGAGCATTCTGAACTAATAAAGAGACTCAGTGTAGGGAGAAGAAATCTGTGAAGCATGAAGCATGTCCAAGAATGTGCCCTCCTCCAGAACATATGGAGAGCCAGCTTCTACCACAATATCATCACTGGAAAACACACCATAGTTCTGCCTAATCAGTGAGTGGAGTAGCAAACTAGATGTGCCCTATGGTCCAGGGGCCAAATGTGGCCTTCAGACCAATTTTTGTTGGCCCTCAGACTTTCTGCTGGATTCATAAACTGTACTTGAGTCTTGCAAAACTAAGTAATTCTATGACTATAAGATCAATAACAAACATTTTATTGTGATACAGACTTAAACCTAATGCTCCAATTGTAAAATAATGGCAGTTCTTTCAAAGCTTTGTTAAATCTACTTGAATTTGTATGAGTCAATGTGCTGAACACGAGTCTGTGGACCCAATCAAACATGTTTCAAAATGCAGCCCTTGGTGAAAAAGGTTTGGACACCACTGTACTAAACTCTGGTAATCTGATGTTAGAGAAATCTGATTTGTTCTAAAAATGATAAATGACCAATAAGGTCCTCTGTTCCCCAATGTGTCACTGAAATAAACAAATCTGATTTATATACTGTCTGAGTTTGGCCTGAGACTCAGATGAGAAGGTGGTGACCAGACTGAGAGAGTTACTGTTTAGAATATGGAGAGGGAAGCAGTCTGGATCCCAGGCTATGACTCCTGTTTGAGCTGCTGACTCACAGATTAGCTGGCGGTGGGTGTGTCCACAGCACATGCATGAGCCAGTGCACCTGACCTCTGCTGTTATGTGCTACATTCAGCACAGAACCAACAAGTCGATTCCAGGCATTCCAACTCCCAAAAGTGTGAGTAATTTTTCCTATTTGAATCTTTCAGTGCTTTTGCAGCATGTGAAAACATCACGAGTCATGACATACGTAAGTGAAATAAAGGTGTATTTGGTAAACGAGGCGTACCATCAGATAAGGTAAAAGAGTGTGGAAGCTGTCATCGAAAGTCAAACTGTGTGGCTTATTACCAGCAAGTAAAACAAACACGGAGAAGCAGTCATGAACATAGATCACCAACAGACAGGAACAGACTACTAATATGACGGGAAATCGTTCAATAAAGGGAGGCCATCGAGATCTGTGAATAGCCCATCGGACTGTAAACTGGGATGAGGGGGCATACCAACTCTTCCACACCACAGGTGCTGTCCCTCTGAAGACAGAGACACAGTTTAAATCAGCTGAGCAGACATGTATGTCACAACAACATCATGAAACATTGTGAGGAAGGCACCAGAGTGGATGTAGCCCAAGCATGTCAAGCTATGACACAAAAATATAGATCTGACTACATAAGAACCTCCAAATTATAGTTTGAGTATCAAATAGTATCTGATTTGTGATACTTTTAAAAACCTGATCCCTATTTAGATTAGAACAACAGATCATTTAAGTCCCACTAAAGAAAAGATTTGGGTTTCCGATGGAGCCCGACCGATATGGATTTTGTTGTTGCAGATATGATACCGATATACTGGGAGTTGGAGCTACCGATAGCCAATATAATCACTGATATATTTAGTGATGTAAAAATTCACTGTAAATCTTGAATTATTTAAAAAAAACTTAGGTTTGGCTCTGGTGGATTTTAAACTGGGTTTATTTAGGCAACATTTATTGTTATTTTCTTTACATGATATGTCATAGGACTAAAGCAGGTCTAAGGCAGGTCTAAAGCAGGTCTAAAGCAGGACTAAACCAGAACTGAACCAGGACTGAAACAAATCTAAACCATGTGTAAAACAGGACTAAACCAGAACTGAACCAGGACTCAGTGTCGGGACTCGGTCTCTATCTCTCTCCCTCTCTCGAGCCCAAGATTAGTCCTGGTTTATTTATTTTATGCTGAATATATATATATGCACGTGTGTTTTTTTATTTTTTTTATCCTATGCACATGCATATTTTTGAAAGTTTCGTTTTTAGCCGCTGCCGCTGTCAAACTCCCACGAGTCTGCACGCGGCGTGAAGAGAAAAAAAGTGAGAGAAAGAGAAAACACGGCTCCCAATAAGGATCAGGCTCCCGTTGTTCGCTTCAAAGAGCCGGATCTAAGAGCCGCTTCGTTCGCGACCGACCCATAACTACTAGCCTAGCTAGTAAATAAACAACCGCTATTAGCCTTTAGCCCTAAATACTGCACGCCGCGATAATTAATTATATGCGCAAATTTCATAATTCACACGTTTATTCACAGCTCATTTACATATCAATGCAGCTCCAGTAACAACTAGAAAAGCACTCAGAGAGCGCAGACCTCCGCCAAGGACTACCCCCATTTTTTATATAAATTGCGATAAAATCAGTCTTCTGGATCAGATCCGGATCAGCCTTTGGAATATGAAAGAGGATCCCATTGTCCATCCCTGAGTCAAATTTCATGGGGTTTGGTCAATAATTAACCGAGATATTGAGAAACAAAATGTTTGGCCCCATTTACCACAATGTTAACTAAAATTTCAAAGTGATCCAGAATCCAGGATTTCTTCCGGATCACCCCCAAAATGCAATCAGTTCTTCCTTTTCACATTTCCAACAAATCCTGAAAATTTCATCAAAATCGGTCCATAACTTTTTGAGTTATGTTGCTAACAGACAAACAAACAGACAAACGCCGGCAAAAATATAACCTCCTTGGCGGAGGTAAATATATGGCCAATATAGTCACTTTACAATAGACCAATAGAAAACAGCCTGTTTAGGTGTGAGAGCTACAGCTAAGCTAACCTATCAGAACAAAACTAGCTTCAAAGTCGATGTATTTCCAACACTCACCGCTCACACAGGCTCCTCCTCACATCACAAGTCTGCACTAATAAATGCCCTTTTAATCCAGACTCAAACCGATTGTCCGTAAAAAGAAAATAATCTCAGTGTTGCGCACATGGATCTGTGTCTGCGGCTGTAAACAAACGCATGTGAGTGAAGTGACGAGACTCTGTGGTGTGTTCAGGGACAGTACGGACACACACACAAATGACTCCGCAGATAAATACTGATGTGGAGCCATATATTTGGACATTCATCTGTCTGTAAATTGGATTAAATTAACATAATGTCTAAACTTTTTAACGAGGTATAACATGCCCACGTGAAATATCGGCCCCTATCAGCAGCATATGAGCAGTTGCTCATATCGGCCGATAATATCGACCAACCGATATATCGGTCGGGCTCTAGTTTGCGACTATCACCAAATCTAAACCAGGTCTATAACAGGACTATTCCAGGTCTAATCTAGGGCTGAACCAGGTCTAAAAGTGGACTACATAATTTTTACTGTTGTTCTAAACAAGAAATGCTCCAAATGAGGACAAAAAGTGGATACAGTGAATTCTAAATAAGGCAAATCCCCAAACGGAAGAGCTGTCCCAGAACCACCTGAAGGAACTCATGTAGCACTGTTTGAAAAACACTGGATTAGAACATTAGCTCTCCAGTCCTTTCCTGTCTGATCTGACTGAACCAGTAGAACTAGACTGTCACTATTTTAAACACTGAAAATACTTTGATTAAGTCCATTCATCTCTATAAAGACATTATAACACACTGATACAGATCAAACTTCCTTGACAACAAAAGTCTTTTGAGGAGCTGAGCATGCGCAGTTGTGGCTGCAGACTGTGGCTGTGTATGCGGATAAAGAGCTTGCAGGATTAAGCAGGTAAAGAGAGGGAGGAGGAGAGTTACACAAGCTCACGAGTAGCTCAGAACACACCAGGAGCAGCGTCCACACAAAGAGACGCTGATCAGGAAGAGAATAACAGGCATGGTCAGCTGGGACAGGGGAGGGCAGGTGAGTGGGCAGAGTGGGCACTGCGGACCGGTGGGATTTACATCAAGGTTTTGTGTAATCATGTTTACAACTTATTTTGTATTGAATTAAAAAAGAAAACAATAAAACTACTATACCTCGACTTAATGTTCCCAGTCTTATTAAAGGTACAGCTGTTCAGACAAAGTTGTGTTAAATCCAATTATTTAAATGACTCAGTGTCCTGACCACTAGTCTATATTGTATGGTCATCGTTGGAGTTTGGACACCTCTGTATTAAATAGAGGTAAATTATACTGAAAATGGATATTATCAGAATTATTTTGAAGACAGCATTTGAATATTATTTGAATTTTGAAGAGTTATTATCATACTAAAAACAATAATAATGTTGAAATGTTCCAATGTTATGTCATTAAAGTTATGTACCTTGCATTTATTCCATTACATGTGTTTTGCTCACAGATCTGACCGAAAAACTGGCCAGGTGGCATCACCTGCTAGTCTGATTTTATTTTATTTTTTATTTTTTTGCAAAGCAGTAACATCTCCATAATGGCAAGCAGTTGGCAGACCCAAGTGAATCTTTCAACAACACAAATAAATTCTTACTTCTTCTTGTTAATAACTGAGATAATGAACCAAAAGTTCCTCGGGACGCTGAAATGTCCCAGTTTACACCAAACACTACCAAACTGTCCTGGTTACAGACGTCACAGCTAATGAAATGTTACACATTACAGTTTAATGCAGCTTCCAGCATCAATTAATGTTCGTGTTTACAAGCAACACCTTGGTATGTTTACAGTATTTACCGGTAAGTATAACGTCACCGTGACGTGGATGGATTTGCTCATTATAACCCATTATAACTCATGAAAAACCCATTGTCTGAAATGCAGCTGAGATGAAGACTGGCTGATGCTCGCTGTGGCTGTAGTCGTGAATGTTTTAATCTAAACATACAGAGAACCTGATATTTGCTAATTAGCCCTGGGATAACGTTACGTCGGATGTTAGCCAACTGGTTACCACTATGTTATCTAACATATAGGTGCAATTTCCCGTTCAAAAGAGGTGTTTCTACACAATATTATACAGCAGCGTTCGGTTCCCGAATTCAAGACATTTTTACAATAGATTTTAATGAACCCACTTGTTGGTTGCTGTTGTATCTTCTTGTGCTATTACTCTGTTTTTACCCTCTGCTACAAACTTGAGCATGTGCAGTCTTGATCTTGATCGATGTTTCTTCTGCTCGATGAATAATGTCTGTGAAGTGATGACGGATTTTTGACAGTAAAGTTCCATCTGTGAATTCGTATTCGTACTGATGAAAGCGTAATCGTAAATTTTCATTTCGTGATTGTAATTCATGACGTCGTAATTTTTCAATTCGTATTCTGATGGATAAAATACACACAATATATTTTATGTACGACTGGACTCATTTGAGAGTTTACAAATATTTATTTTATGCGCAACTACAGCCAAATATGCACGGATTTCCCAAATACGCATGGATTTCTATTTTATGCGCAGGAATATTTCTGACAGCTTTCTTACTCCATACAAAAGCTCTTAGTTCGATTCATTTTCATTGGTGTGAATGCGTCAGCCGGATGCTTTGCACCACCTCGGAACCAGCCGCGGTTCTTGAGCGCGGAGAACCAGAGCCGCTCTGTCCCGGTCTCAGTCCCGCTCTGGTCCCGGTCTGGTCTCGGACCTGGATCCGTCCTGATTCAGTCCGTATGCGGTGCAAAAGTCCAGCATCGCAGTCACGGAAGTCACGTAAACGGGAAACGGCCGTTATCCGTTTTTTCCTTTCTTCATTTAAACACAAAATCTAAAACTGAAAAAACGAATCGTTATCCGTTTTTTCATTGTGGTTTTGGAGACAAATAGCGAAGAAAACTGTTGTTTTTTCGTTTTCTTATTTTTGGTTTTATATTGAAAAACGAATGAACGAATGATACACGGATTATTAACAACACTAGAGAAGTAATAAACATGGTGTACTCTGAGAAAGAGAGATTAGGGTTAAAACAACACAGAGCTTGTTTACAACAGCAGTAGGTCTAATGGCTTTTCAGGCTGTCGTCTGGCACCTGTCGCAAGTGTCAATCTCCTGCATGTCCAAGTAGGAGAGGAGATAAACTGTAGATATATCTGATTAAGGCATTTCATTTCACGTAATTATAGTCAAAATAATAAATTAATAATTGAATTTGCGATTTAAAATTAAATTGTATAAAAGTACAATTCATAATTTGTATTTAAAAACAGGTAAAATTAAATGTTAAAAGTACGTTTATGTGCTCCGCTGCAGCTCCTTTGTAAAAGAAGTGTGACGTCATTACGCATGAGTTGAACTACGTCAGGTATGGGAGCGCACAGATTTTCTATCTGCTGTTGGAGATTGTTATGATTTTATGATTTATTTATTAAATTACTCAAAATCATTTAGGATACGCCACCTGGTTTAATAAATGAACCCGAGGATTCTGTGGGGTGGACTGAAATGAATGAGACCCGGGCTACACTTCAAACCTACTCGCCATAGCTTATTTATTCAATCGCAACTTCGTCTACTACTTTGAGATTCACTAGAAAAAGGCACCTGTGTTTCAAAGATCACTGACAAGACACGAACCAGATGTTTGTAGAGTAGTGCAGACTTACCTCTGACTGAGCACACAACCAGAAGTGTCAGTAAACTTTGATAAACTATGACATTCCCGAGCGGTTTCATTTTTCAGATCGGATGATGAGCTTGTCTCGGCGTGAGGAGCGATGGCAGCGCTAGAGAAAGAGTAAATGTTCCCGTGGGAGGCGAAAGAGCGCGCTGTGATGAGGAGACGGTTTGTCCTGATGAATCCTCCAGACTGCGGCCAGGCGGAGCGCAAGGGCGGACGGCTCACGTGGGCAGGACAGGCGTCACTGTGGGCGGGGCCAAGGCAGAGTTATCACCATGGTAACATTCACTTAAAACAGTTTTCTTTAATTTGACTTTCCTTCTGTATGTTTTGTGCTTAAAAGAGCTTTAAACCCTATTAGACGAATATTTCCTCCTCAAAATTATACTTGGAGTTGTGTTTTGTTTCATTCACATTTTTGATTAACTCCGCATTAGTTTGTTTCCATTTCCCAAGCTCAAAATACTCCATCTGTGATGAAGACACATAGTTTTCGAGTTAAAAGCTCCTTTGATCCTTAGTTGAGCAAATTGGCAATTCCACAGCTGAAATCATCCAAATAATTCTAGTGAAGGTGTATGGAGTTTAAAAACACAGTGGAGCACTTCCTGTATTGTCACGTAACATAAAATATTGTGAAACATTCCAGACAGTGTTTTTGTTTTGAGAGAAGATTTCTCTCGAACTTTGTTTATACAAACTCTGTACATGTTTAATAAATTTTGTGTTAAACGTGTGAATGAAACAAAACACACCATAAAACTTCAGGTATAACATAAATGAGACAAAAAAATATTGCAGCCATTACTGCAATGGACAAAACTTGAGGAAAATAAACTATATTTTGTTTATAAAATCTGTATTATTTCTGTAATCCTGAAAATAGAATGATTATCTACGGTTGCACCCCTACAGCGTTTGACGGATGGATATTCACATATTAACTCAGTTCAGAGTGATACATTTATCAATCTGACGTGAGCCAGGTTATACTGACATACAAACAACCCAAATCTACATACAAGACCACTGCAGTCTTTTAGTGTAAATATTTAATTTTCATAATTCAGAGAAAATATGTGCAGACACAGATAGGTAGTGTTCTCTACATTAGTAGAACTGCAAATCAGTGTATCCTAATTTAAACCCTAAATAAATTTACTGGCCCAGTTTTCACTTTATTTGTTGTTAGAATTTTACTTTCCACAGTTACAAGATGGCCGTCGCAACAGCAATAGTGACAGTATCCGCTCCCTCTAGCGTTGGGAGGGACACGGGCTATCTTAGCAACCCGTGTTATTTACACTTTGTTTTCTGTGTGTTTACTTCATGGAACATATCCTGGGACATACATTGTGTGTTGTTTTAATCGATACGTTTGGACGTCTACTGGACAGATGTATCGTATTTAGCTTTTAAACTGTATTCAACTGTATAAAGAGACTGTATATAGACCTACATTATAAATAAACCAGTACTCAGTTAACCGTGAGCTCTGGCGCCATCGTGTGGGTCATAATGCCAGTGCAGCTTATTACAGCGGAATAATAAAAATAATAATAAATATAGCCGCAAGCGGCAATGATCGGCCCTCGCGCGTCCTTACGCCGCGCCCCGCAAACGCTGCACCTCACACTGACCCGAATAAGCCTAATCTTAAACCTTACCCTAATCGTAATCCCAACCATAGCCCCAACCCTAAACCTATCAATCTTAATATAACCCTGCATTTTTCAAAATTTGGCAAAAAAAAATTATCCAAGATGGCGGACTTCCGGTTTGTAAAGGAGCTTGGTCACAGTATACATTTTTGTTCTTATTGCCATGATGCATCTGGCTACCAAATTTGGTTTGGCTACGCCAACGTTTGTGTAAGGACGTCCCATTGGCAAGGATACAATTTTGGCTTGCTGCCATGGCAACACAATGTAAATGGGATGTGAGCATCATTGAGTTTTTTAATCGAGACCATGTCACAAATGTGGATACCAAATTTTGTATATCTGTGACAAATAAAACCTTAGTTTTACATACAAATTTTCTAGGGGGCGCTATTGCACCCATTTTTGTATTTTCTTACATCAGCCTGTTTAGGGTCGGGGTGTGAACCCACAATAAAAATTTGAGTGAAATCAGCCAAAGTTTGTGCAAATTTTCTAGGGGGTGCTATTGCACCCATTTTTGTATTTTCTTACATTAATCTGTTCAGGGTTGAGGTGTGAACTCAGGATTAAAATTTGAGTGAAATTGGCCAAAGTTTGTGCAAATTATCAGTCGTCGAAGTTTGACGGTGAGCCCTAAAAACAAACCTGAAATTTGCACCGTTGCCACGGCAACACCGTGTGACCTTTTAAAAAGCTTTTAACAACTTTTAATGTCCCACTTGTCTAGATGATACAGAAAGATTCTGTCTGGGTCAAACGCCCTTGGACGAGTTCGTTCAAGTACGAGGACAGGTCGCACCATCAATCCAATATGGCCGACTTCCTGTTGGTTGCCAAGCAACCACGTAATATACTTTTTTGTTCCTATTCCCATGATGCATCTGTACCAAATTTGGTTTGGCTACGCCAAAGTTTTTGTTGGACGTCCCATTGGCGAGGACAGATGTTTGGCCTGTTGCCATGGCAACACGATGGGAAATGGCATGAGGTCGTCATTGACTTTTTTGATCAAGACCATGTCATGAATCTGTGTACCAAATTTTATATGTCTACAACAAAGTAAATGTTTGCAGTACCATGCAATTTCCCTAGGGGGCGCTATTGCACCCATCTGAGATTTTCTTATATAAATCTGTTGAGGGTCAGGGTGTCAATCAACGATTAAAATTTGAGTGAAAGTTTTGTGCCAGAATTTGTAGATTTTACCAATGGAGAGTTTATGTCATTGCTATGGCAACGCCATAAAAAATATGACATGGGTGTTACTGACTTTTGGATCAGGATGCCAAATGGAATTTTGTACAAATTTCATTAAGTAGCTTCAGGGCAGAGAGTTTAACAACTGTTTCAAATTTCACTGAAATCGGAGTTGGTTTGAGCAAATGGGAGCAATTTGTAAATCTCCAAAATTGTGTGAATTTTTTGTTGCTTCACTGCTCAGAGACCGTAAGACGTGTGTGAAAAATGTGGACAACTTTTGATGTTCCACGTCTTGAGACAATATGGACAAAATTTTAGCTCGTCCGGGTGAACGCCCTCGGAGGAGTTCGTAAAAGCTTAGCAAACTTTAAGCCAATATTGCTGCCCCCTAGTGGAGCGCACGGTGTTGGCGTAATAATATTTTTTCCTTGTCTTGACATGATCGACTTCTGTGTCAAATTTCATGATTGTACATGCAAATTTTTTTTGTGTGTCATTCGTATTCCCTAATGCATTTTTGAGTCGTTTGGGGGCGCTGACGAGCCATTTTATTTCTGTTTGGAAAATGGAAATAGCCAAAACGTAGGGAAGCGCGAGTTTTACCAGATGGAAAAATTTCCAGGACTTTTTATTATTGTTCAGTGGGTGAAAAATGGGTGAGTTGGTTAGGAGAAAAATAAGAAGAAGAAGAAAGAAAGAAGAAAGAAAGAATAATATTCTGATGCGAGAACAATGTTCTGCTTTTTTTTGGCCGACAAACTATACATTTTCGGAAACCTCTGGGGCATTGCTACGTCATGGCGAGGGTCCCTGGTCACTACGGGCGAGTCACGTCGCGCCATTCCATTTTTCGGCCACTTGGAGCATCGCTAATAGGCTTCGCCAGCCTCTGGCGCTTGGGCCTAATAATAATGATAATAATAATAAAAAACATTCAGAGAAAATAGAGGATCCCCTGGTCCTCCGTTAGCCTAAAGCAGATATTATTTTAAGCGAAGACGACCTAAGATAGTGTGGGAAATATAGGCCTAAATATAGGTCTATAGGCGTAACATTTGGTTGGTGGTTCAATGTCAGACTTGACCACTGCGTGGTGCTGTTGGGCAAGTTTATCTGCGTGTGCGTGAATCCAGAGGTGAGTATGAAGGCTGAATGAACGGTGTTTTCAATAAATAATGGATTGTGCATGATTAGCCTATAGAAGCATCAGCATCGTGAGTATGTGTCTGAACTGCTCTAATGGACTTTGCCTATATATCACGAAATGTAAGGCTACTAAAAGTACCTTTTTTTGCAGTTTTTTTGCAGACAGGTCAGTGACTGTCAGTGTGGGTCACTCACATCTCCACTGTGGGTGTAGTCAGGTCCTAACAGGTCTGGAGGTGTCCTGTCCAGGTAACATTCTGTCAGAGCACAGGTCTGCTGTGGTGGCAAAAGTGACTGAGGAACACTCTCTCTGGTAGGTAGGAAAATATACAGCTGAAAGTCCATTTTCATAAGATCATGAGGTCAGTTCAATTTCAAGAGGCCTTCATTAGACAACAATGCTGAAAGATGCTGCCTGCTGAAGACCCTGAGATCAGGTCAGAGATATTGTAGCATCCAATGGGCCGAGGTGCACAGAGTGAGAGCCGTGAGGAGCAGATAGATAGAAAGAAATGTACTTTATTGACAGCAACAGAAGATGTGAATGAGTCAAGCTCTGCTCCACTACAGATCCTGTCTTCCTCACCAGCTCATCCAATCACACAGCGTCCTTCTTGAGGCTTCCTCCTCAGCAGACCACAACATTGGAGAGGACACTGAGATGACTGTCTGGTAGAACATCAGCATGAGCACCTGGCAGATGTTAAAGGACTTTCTGAGAAAGTACAGCCTGGTCTGTCCTTTTCTGTAGAACAGGTCTGTGTTCTCAGACCAGTCCAGTCTGTGGTTGAGATGTAGATCTAAATACTTATATCTCTTTACAAACTCCACAGTGTGGCTTTAATGATCACAGGTTGCAGCTGTGACCTGCTTCTCCTAAAGTCCACCACCATCTCTTTGGCCTTTGCAGTGTTCAGTTGAAGGTGGTGAGCCCTGCACCACACCACACAGTCCTCAAAGATCTGCCGGTACTCCTCTCCTTCTGTGTTTGACGTGGACAGCGAGTGAGTCATGAGCACATGTGGACAGAGTGAGAGCCATGAGAAGCACATGTGTACAGAGTGAGAGTCATGAGGAGCAGGACAATCCGGGACAGTACGGGTAATCCTAACCCCATGACAGCAGTTCATGTGCCACCCATAAACTTCAGCCATTATTGTCCTGCTTCCA